AGATGCTGTCACACTACCTCCGATCGACCCGATTGCTGCGGTACCACAGAATCTAGACACAGCATTCCATAAAGCCACGAAAGTTCAGACACCACATCTGCCAAACTTTCACGCCAAGAAGTTCTCCACGCATAACATGGACCCCTTCTTCAAGGCTCAAGACATCGATGAAAACTACAAGCTGATCAGCGATGTCAAGAATAAGAACTACAAGATTGACGATCGCAAACTGGTTCAGATAGAAACCATGACGAGACGTATGTTCTTTGGTCTAAATAGATCTAGAACGATCAATGAGACACTTATCACCAGATTTCGTAACACGACCTCTGAAGATGATAGAATGATTTACTCGGCCCTACTTATGCAAAAGAAGGACCAGCAGTTCCTAACGGATCATCTCACATCTGTCTCAGCAGCACTGACCTTAGCTCGTCGTCAAGGCCTCCTCGCTTCCTGCAGCTGGGGTGAGAACTTTACAGCTCCACTATATACAGCCCCGTGGTCTTCCCCATCCATCTTTGACGGAGGAATAGACAAAGTCTCCAAGGAAGTCACTAAGGATTCCAGAGAAGTCCTGATGATTAAATCGATGGACACACTAGCCAGCGTCATCCAACAGACTTCACAAAGATACTCAGGGAGATCTAAATTCACGGGTCTACAGAGAGCACGAGACAGGAAGATAGCCAGCTCCAGGGGAAAAGATTCTTTTCGTCGCCCATATGGCAACTATAGAGGAGGGTCAGGAAGAGGCAGGACACCCAGAGGTTCCCGCAACTATAAACGCTGAAAGACAGGTTCGGAACGACTGGAGTCTTCCACCCCCAGCCGTTCCAGTACAACCGTCACAAGTGGGTGGACGTCTCCAACTACACTGGGAAAACTGGGGAATGTTACAAGACCCTTATGTCTCCAACATTCTTCAACACGGATTTCGTATCCCACTACAGGCCAAGCCTCCGCTGACAGTCAACCCTCACAAGTTCGACTTACAGGCACAACAACTACCAAAGTTAAGAGAGGCTGTTACATCACTCCTAACCAAGCAGGCCATAGAAGTAATAGATCAAGGAAACATCGAACCAGGTTTCTACTCCCCAGTTTTCCTAGTACCCAAGAAAAACTCCAAGGAGAAATACAGACTCATTTACAACATGAGCTTCTTCAACAAGAATTATCTACGCAACCACCGAAGTTTCGCATGATACATCTACCTCAGTTACGGCAGTTGATTCGCCCCATGGACTACATGGGCAGTATAGATCTACAGGATGCATATCTGCACATCCCAATACATCCCGAATCCAGGAAATACCTACGGTTTACACTAGACGGGCTACATTACCAGTGGAAAGTACTCCCATTCGGAATATCATCAGCCCCCTGGCTATTCACGAGGATAACGAAACCGATTATCACCTATCTACATCGTCAAGGGCTACGCAGTGCGTTTTACCTCGACGACGGGATACAAGTAGATCAAGATCCACAGCGTCTCAAACTACAGTTAAACTATATCATAAAGCTACTAACACAGCTAGGATGGTTAGTAAACTTACTCAAGTCGGACCTAGTACCATCGCAAGATCTGCAGTTCCTAGGCATTCGATTTATCACGAATCTCAACCGTATCGTCGTACCAGAAGACCGTTGGCTCAAGATCCAACAGACCATTCCACCAGCTCTACTCTCTCCGCTACCACTTCGACAATGGCAGAGCCTGTTAGGTCTTCTCACATCAGCCCAAGACATGACAGTCAGAGGCAGATTACAGTTACGTCCCTTACAGGTCTTCATCAACACACATCTCGACGACCTACAACCATTCAGTCTACCAAACATCTCAGACCTCATCTACTATGGTGGACCAAGAAATCGAATGTCTGCATAAGGGATTTGTTTAGCAGAGCAGGAATTCAAAACCCATCTATATGTAGACGCTACGTCGCCCAAGGTTGGGGAGCTCATCTCGCCAACCGGACGACATCAGGGTTATGGAATCAGCAAGAAAGCAAGCTCCATATAAACATGTTAGAGATGAAAGCTGTAATCAACGCCATACTGCATTGGAGCACCATTCTACAAAATGCGCACCTAATGATTCATACCGACAACTCGACAGTGGCGTTCTATGTGAACAGACAAGGCTCAACGAGATCACTGAACCTTTTGACTTTAAGCTTTCAACTGTTCGATCTAATCCAAGATCTAAATCTACATGTCAGAGCATGCCACATTCCCGGGAGCCAGGAATATACTAGCAGACGCACTCTCTCGGCCACATCTACCGTCGCCGACAGAATGGATGCTCAATACAGAAATCTTTGCACAGATAATCAAGCAAATAGGAGCGCCGCTAGTAGATCTATTCGCCACAAGATTCAACAATCAGCTACCGACATTCGTGTCACCAGTCCCAGACCCACAAGCATGGGCAACGGACGCTCTAAGCATATCCTGGGAAGGCCTCAATGCGTACGCGTTTCCGCCGCCAGCAATAATACCTCAAGTGTTACAGAAAATCAGACAAACACAGAGCCTACAACTCACTTTGGTCGCGCCTACCTACTGGCCGGCCAGAACGTGGTTTCCCATTCTAATACAAGAAATCGGTCAACCGGCACTAGAGCTACCCAAGCGCTCAAATCTATTAATACATCCACACACCAAACAGGTGCACAGAAACCCAGAAGTATTCAAACTTCACGTATGGACTGTATTAAAATGTGTTTAAACAAGAGAGGATATTCTACCAGGGCGGCAAAAGCGGTCACGCTTGCCTTACGATATTCTACACGTAACTTGTACGACGACAAGTGGCACAGTTTCGAAAATTACGCAGCAAACAAGGGATTTACAGCGAGAGATGCTACTCATCCACAAGTGGCAGATTATTTGTGTTACCTACGCCAAAACAAACATTTAAAAGGCTCGACATTGTCAACATATCTTGCCGCTCTTAGTTCTGTGATTACTATGAGAACGGGTGTCAAATTGACTAAGACTCCAGAGTTACTGGCCTTACTTCACGCTTTCCGATTGAGGACCAAAAGCGAAGTTCCACTTCCAGCTTGGGATCTGAATGTAGTGTTACAACACCTCACAAGTGAGGATTATGAACCGTTGGAATCGACAACCTTTGAATTTCTCTCACAGAAAACACTTTTCCTGTTATCTCTAGCCACGGCAGCCAGAATGTCAGAAATTCACGCCTAGATTACGAGAGGATACAGTTTGATGACAATCAAAACACAGCACACCTGGGATTAAGATGGGATTTCATCGCCAAAAATCAACTACCAGGTCAACCAGACAGGTTATTTCACGTCCCTGCACTATCCTCGATTCTCGGATCTCAAGATACACTGGACTTATCGCTATGCCCAGTCCGAGCTCTCAAAATCTATTTACGACGTTCCAAAACAAGGCGAAGATTTCTCAAAAGATTATTCATCCCCTTATCGGCAACAAATCAGACAGAAGTCTCTCGTACCACCATATCTATATGGATAAGGACTGTCATTCTACGCGCCTACAAGGCAGCAGGATTGGACCCTCCAACAGCATCAAATCGCCATGAGATCAGGGCATTGGCTTCCACTCTCGCCCTACACGGTAACTGTTCATTGAATACAATTATGGAAGGATGCTTCTGGAAATCTAACATGGTGTTTGCTAATCACTTTCTGAGAGATATCACCACCGAGGACGTCTCTGGCATTCACCATTTCGGTCCTTTGGTCCTCGCTCAGCAGCTGACAGTCCCTCGTAGGCGTTAACATTTACTCCCGCGAGATTATTATGTATTATTATACATACCTTATCTAGCTTATAACTCTACGGAGTTCTAGGGCTATGTATATACTTAGCTTAGGTTTACTCAGCCTTAAGCTCATACTGATGTTTATGTTCAGTTGTACAGCTTCTCTATCAGAGTTGCTTTTATATCTATTTATAATATCTTAGTATATCAGTATATTAGTATTGTAATACCCCAGTTATGCCAATATATAACCTATGGCTTATAATAGAGGAAATATCCTAAGTCAATACCTTTATGAAGTTCCCGTAGGGGTTATTACACTTATAGTTATATAAATCACTAATTATAAATCCAAAGTATTCTGTTTTTTCCCACCTCCGCTCCGGAGGATTCTACAAGCAAAAGAGCATGAGTCAGGATAAGGAAAAATATGTAATTTTTAGAGTAAAATTGATATTTTATACTTATCCTGACTCATGAGGTAAGCCCTCCCATCCTCCCCACATAACACTTTGGATTTCCCTGTAAATTCAAGTGTTGGGCTCACAAAATCAGGAGAGAGTGAAGCATGAGGCCAGAGGGTGGCGACACCTGTTCCCACCCAAACGGCAAAGGGAGGCAACTCTTGGTGAGTACCAATTAGTGATTTTACATTGAAGGGAGCTTCAATTAAGGAGATACAAGTGTTCCACTATGTTCGCAAGAAGAAGAAGACAAGCAAAAGAGCATGAGTCAGGATAAGTATAAAATATCAATTTTACTCTAAAAATTACACTTTTCAAACCTTATAAGGGCTGGCTGAAAAAATTAATAATTGAAAATATTATTGTTTTTAAAAGATATTAATGATTATCAGTATATGAAAACTATTGATGTTTTGTCATTGATCATGGTCATCAGTAATATCTTAGTTAAACTACATGTATTATGATGAAATAAAGTTATGATTTACACACACAACACACAAAGTTTTCTCTTTATTTATTGTGTTTTTTCTTAATTTTGTTGAGAAAGCTGGTTTTGTTAGAAATTCAGTATGAAATACATGTATGTTCATGTTGATGTTTTTCTGATTTTCTTTTCATTCTTTCTTAAAATGGAGCTTTACATGCATGTTCAATACCAAGAAGATTGACTTTGATTTGACGTTTTCACCTTAATACTATCATAGATATATGAAGGTGTAATATTGGAAAAGTGTAGCTTGGATTTGACCACACTCTAGCCTGCCACCATGATTCATGAACAGTACTTACTGCATACATTGTGGAGCATTGCATGTAGTTGCCTTGGAAATCAAATCTATCAGAAATAGGATAAGCAAAATTAGGAGAGCCTATGGACAGTCTTGAAACTGTTTCACCATCCTTTTGATAAAGGTGACAATAGCAAAGAAGCTTAAGCAGGTCATGTGTGTGCAACTATGGCAGGCCAATTTTACATGTGTGTCAGTAAGGCTCTGGGGTGCCAAAGCCATGTCAGTGATAGCTTTGGCTGTCATGGAAAGAGTAAGGGACTACATCCATTCAAATAGGACAGACTTGTTAAAGACTATTGTGACATTGACTTTTGCACTTTTACCATGTTATAAATATCTTCATCAACTAGGATTCTAAACTATGTCTTTGTTTCTTTTTCTTAAAATCGGTTGTAATTATTCTTTAACTCACTATAGGCCAGTTCATGATGATTGTAATTTTTATTGGCAAGATATCCATTTCAGCGATGGTCATCTTTTTCAGGGACAACTTTTCATGACGTGCTGAAGAAGAGCAGGAGTTCCTCAAATCTGACAGTGAAGAGGTCTCCTGAGAAAAAGTCAGGTATGTATGTAATACCATCATTTGCTCTTTCAGTTTGTTGCAGTGTTTTGATGTAACCATTTTTATCATAGAAGCATATTTGTCAGTTTGAGTGTCATCCCTGTGGTAAAGGGATAAATGGTGCCATGTTATAGTCCTACCTCTTGTGTTTTTTGCAAACAAGTTGTTTAATAACATTAGTGATACTGAAGCCCCCAAGGTTATCTGAAACATGTTAGATTTTGCCGTATGTTTACAGTGATATCAACCATTGATTTTATAATTGGAGCCTATAGATGTTTTTGTGATTATTTACATGGATAAAATATCAAGAAGATCAAATTGTTATGCACTGGTCACATAATGCTTTCTTGAACTAATTTCATGTACACCAGTGTATCTTCTGAACTTGACACACCTTGTTGTCTTTCAGTTAATAATATATTGTCACAGGATAACTTTTATGAATATTTGGAGTTGTGACTATTTGTTTCAGTAACATTGTAGAGCATTGGACATAGGGCTGACTAAAAGGTCAATAATTGGAAATATAGTCGATGGGAAGAATTATTAATGATTATCAATATGGAAACTGTGGCATTGATAATATGGTACATATCGTTAGGTCTTCTTTCATTATGTTCATTATGTTCAGGGTGCTGTTTGTTTTTTATCCCTGAACAAATGTGTCACTACTCAACAGTGATGTGAAATATGTGAATTTTTTTCAGACTTTGGGACATTTTTTTATGAAAGCACCAACATAAAAGGGTTTGGTGGGATTGACCCTTTACAACGTGAATTTTTGTATTTCCATTATCATATGATTCCTTATGGATATCACTGTTGACATTGTGGTAATTCATTTTGAACTCTATTGGCATTTACTTTTTCATGTTCATGTCCAGTTTTAGTTTATAGATTACTTGTATATTCCGTTTTTCAGTTTTATCATATTGAATCTTTAAATGTAAATAGGGATTCTGTCCCATGTGACTGGCAACTATGATTGTGTGGTCATGTTTCATGTACGTCCCAGTCAGAAGAAAGTCATGTACATCCCAGTCTTAAGAAATGTGCAAGCCTGCATTGAAGTATTAATAACAGTTTTTTACATGAAATTTCAAACAGGGCTGGCATCTCTGTGTTGCAGTGAAGCATAGTGTGAAGAATCGATTAGGTGCGTCTGACAGGGAGCCCCAGCAGGCGGAGCCAGCGAAAGTGAGCATCAAGGACAGACTTGGTGGACAGGGACCTGGCAAAGATGATTCACCTCCTAGAACAAATGTCCGAAGTCGACTTGGGTTGAATGCTCCAGCTGCAAACCTTGGAGCAAAGTCATTGACTGATTTACGTACACAGAAACTACAGATACTCCAACAGTTAGCTGAAGGTAAAACATGCAGAAGCTTTGTTGTCCAGATATAGTTCAGGATGTACAAGAGTGTATTTCAAGTTTTCAAATTTCATGTCACAATAATTGTGTAATCAGATGATTGTTAGAAATCCGCTCAACAAATTGTTTTCCAAATTTCGAACCTCTCATCCTTGAAGATTTCATGTGACATTTTTCCTGTTAATAAAAGTTTCTACAGAGCCTGATGATGAAGAAGATTGTACATCTGACATCAAGGTCAAGTCACTCGAGGAAATAAAGGCAGAAAAGGCCTGTAAGGCTTTGAACACAAGAGGTAAGACTATAACATGGTATTAACCCAGTAGGGCAAGTGCAAGTCTTTATTCAGTGATCCTATTTCATTATTGTTGTACCCATTATGTAAGTGAATAGTACTCAAAGTTGTCACTGTTACAACAAAATGATGTCATGTAACTCTTACTTTTGCTGATGCAAACCTTTAATCAGTGTTGAGGCTTTAAGGAGACAGAACAGGCAAGTCAAAGGAATGATTTAAATCTGCCTTTCAAGAATAATATTTGTCATATAATGGTTTAGATCAGGATGTTTATAGCAATTTTGAGAATAAATGATCCTTATGTTTGAAGTGACTTGACTTGACATGACATCCATTCATACAACTTCCCAGGGTCTGCTTCTGGTGAGAGAGGTTTAAAGAAGACTTTCAAATCTGTGCCTCCACCAGCTAAACCAGCACCAAAGAGAAAGTTAATCATATACTCTGGTGAGTTTGATGCATTCTCTTGTTACTGTTTTAAGTGACTCCCAGTTTTGTGTGTTGGTACAGTTGGCACAGCTTTTTAAGGATCCTTGATCTGTCAACACCTTACTTGAAAACCAAGTTCTATGGATAGTCAACATCTTTATTGCAACGAGTGCACTCATCCCAATAAAGATGTTGACTATCCATAGAACTTGGCTTTCCTTCATCTATACAACTTCTAAAATGCCTCTCAAAGAAGTCAACACCTTACTTATTGATAAAGTTATCTTTTCTTTATTAATTAGAACTCTCTTTCAAAGTAACTTTTGGTTTCCCCTGGTCGCATGTAAAAATGACCTAACTTTGGCCTAGGCTGTTTGTTTAGTCTCTCTGTATCAGACAATTGATAGAAAATAGTTACTGTCCATAATTTGTTACTCTGATATTAAATTTATGTTAGATACATTTATATACATTACACATGTCAGCTATTTTTTATCCTGATACAACAAAGTACAAATTCCTGTTGACTGCCCTGAAAGTTGCTAAAACATTAAGACGGGTCAAAGGCAGGGCTAGCTTTAGATTAGTTGTATCCAGATCAGCATTCTAACATAATAATATTTGCATTCCTAAGAAACTTTCTTTCCCGCTCCGACTGAGGATTCTTCAACATAATCAACATGGCCTTGTTGATAGCACGAGACATGGTCAGTTCAAAGAATGATCTTCTGGTAGTTTTTCATAAAGACAGTGCATAGTAATTAAGAAGAAAATAAACTTACCGGTAATTAAATGCCAAATTGAAACAAATACAGATATATATGATACATAAAGGTCCTAAAGAGATAATCCAAGCCTAATTTTGTAAAGAACAATTAATGATTTTGATAGGATGGCTTGGAATAGAAAACACAAAAAATTTCCCAACCATTCTGTTGTCACCTTCTGACTGACCGGTGCGCAATGGCAGTGATTGGGTGTGTTCGGGTTAGATGTTTTTACCGTTCTTTGGGAACATAACACAGAATGTTTCTACAAGTGTAACTAGGATTAAGGGAAAGAGAAGCAACAGTATGAGTCAGAATGAGGAATAATTTCTTATCCCTGTAGCTGGAAAGGCTAAACAATTCGTAACCATGGTAATGTTGACTGGATTGACTGTGCTAAAGTTATCCCCCTCAAACATGTCTGTAACATTTCAGAAAAAAACCCAGCTACTGCAGACACAAAATACCTAAAGATCATCAAACTATAGACATAATTATAAATAATGAACCATTATGTTTTTTATATGGTGAAACAACACTGATTTGCATAATGCAAAACATATAGTCAAGGTACTATGGTATACAGCAATCTTTTAAGAAAGGTTTATCCAAATGGTATACAATGAGAACAAAGTTCTTGTCTGATGTTAAAGGGTAACAATTTGACTATTGCAAAAGTGCCTGCAAGCTTAATGAGGTTTTAAGGGAGGGTTCTAGGTGAGGTTACTCTGATCATTTACCTGGTAAGGAGCACCCTCTAGTGGAGAGATGTTCTGTGTTATGGGATCAGGAGATAGAAGGAGTTTGCAATAGGTTGTGTCAGGATATGTACACTAATGTAATCAATTTTTCTTATTTATATGAACTTTTCTGTAACAACCATGTTTTGCTACAGATGAATTGTTTGATGAGCATGAAAAGGAAACCCCTGTGGTGGCAGAACCAGTGGCAGAGTTGAAGGTGAAAACATTAGCTGACATTAAGGCAGAGAAGGCAAAGAAACAACCGTCAATCAAGAAGGAACGTCAGATATACATGCCTCCTGCCATGAAAAACACTGGTAAGTAAGATGTTTCAACATTCAGTTGTCTTGAACTGGTTATCTGGAGTTTATGTTGTAATTAATATTGATCATTTCATGAGTTACATCTATTTCACACTGGTTTCTGTTCAGAGTCTGTGGTACATTATTGTTGCACGGTACAGTGTTGAAAGTGGTAATCATAGCAGGGCTCCAGATAATGTTTCAACATCAGGAGTACGTACTCCTTATTTTTTCAATGTATGAGTACTGGAAAACAATAAGATTACATTTAGAGTACTGAATGAAATTTAATGGTGTATCATTAAACTTGTGCTTCGTTTCAACATTGCTACTCTGGTGTAAACGGTCAATAACCAATAAAACAATACTTTTTCAAGATAAATACAACTGTAAATGATTCTAAGACTGTACACAATTGCTGTGGTGCATATCTGCTATGTTTTCTAAATTATTTCCTACCGTATCGTGCATATTTTTTATCCGTACATACGCCGATACAGCCCTTATCTAGAGCCCTGTCATAGGAAGAGTTCAGCTTTATAAGTATTATAATTTCAATTGGAATTTAACAGTGTTCAAGTAGGAAGGGAAAGTTGACAAGAAAAATTCATTCAGTATAATGGATTTGTGTTTAGGATTTGTAACGCGGGAATTAACTGCATACTGTCCTTGCAGGATAAGCAAAGATGGCAACCCATATGATTTTATTGTATTCATTAAAAAAACAACAACACAAAATACGCGACTATGTTAGCAGTAAAAATATACGCGAATTTTAAAAAAAAGTACATTAAATTAAATTTTCAAATAACATACGTACCATTCATAATACATTTCAACCACATGTTATTCAGTATCAAACATATAAAGTCCAATTTCAAAGCTCAGAAGTCATTTTTTGCAAATCAATTAACTTAATTACATGCCAGTGAAATGTTAGAGTTAGTCTCTTTGTGGAAACTTGTTATCCCCCCGGCATGTAATGCAGGGTGATATAGTCGACGCCTCGTCTGTCTGTCCGTCCGGCCGGCCGGCTGTAATCATTTTGTTTCCAGAGCATAACTCAAAAACCGTTCACTATTTTTCCACATAAATTGGTAGGTATATCAAACAGAACCTAAGGTGGTGCCTTTTGCTATTAACAGATTTTTGTCATTTATATTTTTCTCGGTTTCCATGGAAACGTTTTGGACTTAGTCTTAAAGGGGGTGGGCTTTGTTTCCGGAGCATAACCCAAGAACCGTTCAATATTTTTCAACAAAACTTGGTAGATAAATACAGAACCTTAGGTGGTGCGTTTTGCTATTTGCAGATTTTTGGCATATATATTTTTTCTGGTTTCCATGGAAACGATTCGGACTTAGTCTCAAAAGGGAGGGGTGGGTTCCATTTCCGGAGCACAACTGGAAAACTTCTTAATATTTTTCAGCAAAACTTGGGAGATATGTGAGGCAGATGCCAAAGTGTCGCTTTTTGCTATTTGCAGATTTTTGTGATTTATTATTTTCTCAGTTTCCATTGAAACAATTCAGGCTTTGTCTCAAAATGAAGGGTTAGGCTTCGTTTCCGAAGCACAACTGGAAAACTTCTTAATATCTTTTACAGATTTTTGGGCTTTTGCTATTTACTTTTGGGGTGGGGTGGGGGTGTTTCATGGAAACGATTCAGACTTAGTCCCAAAAGGGAGAGGTGGGTTTCGTTTCCGGAGCACAACTGGAAAACTTCTTAATATCTTTCAGCAAAACTTGGGAGATATGTGAGGCAGATCCCAAAGTGGTGCCTTTTGCTCTTTACAGTTTTTTGGCATTTGTATTTTTCTTGGTTTCCATGGAAACGATTTGGACTAAGTCTTAAAACGGAGGGGTCGGTTTCTTTTCTGGAGCACAACTCAAAAACTTCTTAATATCTTTCAGTAAAACTTGGCAGATATGTGGGGCAGATCTTGAAGCTGTGCCTTTTGCTATTTACAGATTTTTGTCATTTATGTTTTTCATGATTTCCATGGAAACGATTTGCACTTAGTCTAAAATCAAGCTGGACTTTAAGTAACTGTCAGATGATTTGTTCTATAAAGATGTGGGGGCCGGGGGGATATGTCATCTCCTGATGACTCTTGTCTTAAGAAGTTGTCAAAATAGGGAATCTTCAGGCAGACGGTCATTATCTGTCACTTTCTTAAGTTTCAAACTGAAAGTCACTATGGAACAATCGAATTCTTAAAAAAAGAATTTAAGTTGATTTGCAAAGATCACAGAAATTCCTTCCAAGCTGCAGTACAACGTATCCAGTCAATGAAAAATATTTGGTTAGTGAAAACTATGCATTTTGTTATCCCCCTCAAAGCGTTTTGCTGGGGGTATTAAAATGGACTCCGTCCGTGCGTGCTTGCGTGCTTGTTTGCTTGCGTGTGTGCGTCCGTCCGTCCGTGCACATTTGTCTTTTCTGGAGCATAACTCTAGAACCGTTCAATGTTTCTTCACCAACTTGTCACATAGATAGATCTGGTGGTGAACTGGTGCCTTTTGAGAGTTTTAGATTTCTGAATAAAATAATTTTGGCATCTCCATGGCAACAAGTTTGACTTAGACTGAAATTGGTGGTAGTGCTCTTTTCCAGAGCAGAACTTTAAAACCGTTCAATGTTTATTCACCAAACTTGGCACATAGATAGATCTGGTGGTGAACTGGTGACTTTTGGTAGTTTTGGATTTCTGAATGAAATAATTTTGGCATTTCCATGGCAACAAGTTTGACTTAGACTGAAATTGGTGTTGGTACACTTTTTGGAGCAGAACTTTAAAACTGTTCAATGTTTTTTCATCAAACTTAGCAGATAGATAGGTTTGGTGGTGAACTGGTGCCTTTAGGTAGTTTTGGATTTGTAAATAAAATACTTTTTGCATTTCCATTGCAACAAGGTTGACTTTGACTGAAATTGGTCAGTATTTGCATATGTCCATTTTTCTAATAAAAGCTCAATATCTCTCATGGTGCCTTTTGATAGTTTTGGATTTGTAAATAAAATACTTTTTGCATTTCCATTGCAACAAGGTTGACTTTGACTGAAATTGGTCAGTATTTGCATATGTCCATTTTTCTAATAAAAGCTCAATATCTCTTCTTCTCTTTGTTATCCCCCGCAACGCGTTTTTTGTAAAATGGACTCTGTGCGTGCGTCCGTCTGTCCATCCGTCCGTGCACATTTGTCTTTTCCGGAGCAGAACTCTAAAACCCCTCGATATTTCTTCACCAAACTTGGCACATACATAGATCTGGTGGTGTACTGGTGCCTTTTGGTAGTTTTGGAATTCTGAATAAAATAAGTTTGGCATCTCCATGGCAACAAGTTTGACTTAGACTGAAATTAGTGGTAGTGCTCTTTTCCAGAGCAGAACTCTAAAACTGTTCGATATTTCTTCACCAAACTTGGCACATAGATAGATCTGGTGGTGTACTAGTGCCTTTTGGTAGTTTTGGAATTCTGAATAAAATAAGTTTGGCATCTCCATGGCAACAAGTTCGACTTAGACTGAAATTAGTGGTAGTGCTCTTTTCCGGAGCAGAACTTTAAAAATCTTTCAATACTCTCCTTCCACTTTTCTATATGCGCACCTAAATATTTGACATAATCATAACTCGTGGACATAATCATGAAGAGTATTTTGCCATTGCGGGGGATATTGATGACTTTGTCTTCTTGTTGCATACTAATTTAAGCATCACTTTTTGGCCAAAATACTAATTGGGCTAAATTAGGGTTGGCATCTCTGGATAAGTATATAATGTCATTATTATTAGGTCATTAAATATGGTATGTATTTGTGCCTGATAAACCTACCTACTTAAAGTGAGTTCTTTTCTTTTGCAGTTAAGTCTCTACCAGTGAAACAACGTTTATCAGATATTCCAAAGCCTGTAGCAAAAGAAAAAACAATTTCAGAGGTATGTACAAACTAATAAAGAGGCATATTTTGAAAGCATGGCAAATGTTATGTTTGGTAGGACACTCATGCATATTACCTTCTTTGGGTTTTGCTTATAAATAGATTTTTTTATGTTCAATATTATTGGAAATATGAAAATATTTTGTGCGTGAGTGCCTGCACGTGTGATTGCACATATTTCTCTCTATATATTTGATGTGATATGATTACAGGGAAAACCGACTGGCGATGTAAAGGTGAAGACCTTCTCAGAAATAATGGCAGAAAAACGGCGCAGACAAAAGGAACTGCAAGCAAAGTTTGAAAAAGAATACAAGCCTGAAAGTCCAAAGCCCAAAGTGTCTATTACACCTGTTGTGTTCGACATTGACCAAAAAGGTAATGTTTCCTTTCAGTGGCTATGGTCCCTTTGCCTTAGCGATATTCACTCCAACCAAGTATGGTTCACTTGATGTGGAACTGGATGTTTGTGGGGATATTTGAGTTAGAAATGAACATTGCAAGGAAACAGCACTGCGGGGTTCAGGATTCAGTGGTCTTTTGACATTTTTGTGAGAAATGCCAGGGTACAATTTCATTATTTTTCACTACCTGCACCAGGAGCAGTCAAGTGAATTGGCTGTACCATGTTATCAACAATATTACAGTACTGTCGGAAATAGAAAAAATACTATTTTCTCATTTATCTCTACAATTTATGTAGTTGATATGTGCAAGTGTGAAATATCTGTTAAACTAAGTTCGGCCTAACTACAGTCTCAGTGGTAGGGACATACGAAACGTAGAAAAAGGACTTTACTGAGGAGAGATTAATGCAGAAATGAGCAATGCAGGTTTTTTCTAAGTCCAAAACGATTTATTTGGAACAGACCATGGCTTTATGCAAATGAGTGTGTGACGATGTTGTATTACAAAGGACACTTTTTAAATGCCCAATTTGAAATTAGACGTAGCTTCATTATAAACGATAGCTGACATAAAAAATAATAACTTTCATGCTGAAACTATTAAGTATGTAGCTACCATGGAGTCTCACTGCCACTATAAAAAGAAACAGATAGGAGGCTTCGTCTCAAAAGCAAAACCTGGACGGTTGTCGCAGACGATCGTTGGGGTCGGGCTGGGGGATAGAGATATCAGCTAAGATAAGATAATCCTTTAGAGCAATTATACTGGGGAAGTACACGGCATGTCATAACGATTTACAAATAATATCCGGTCCTGTCGATCTTCGCGATCGGGTGGTCATGCCACCTATATATTGAGACATTTATGATTTAATACGATGCGTTTCTATGGTTATCAGGTATCATACTCTTTTACATATCTCAACATAAACTTTATGAAAGAAAGACACGTAAGATGTTAATCAATAGATGAGGCATAGTCAACTTACATGAAAAAGCACAAAATATCTTTGAGATGACCCCTTGTACCTGTAGGCAGCACATGCATTTCATGCCAGGTGAGTCGACGGTCCGTCGTCATACTTGGCTGAGCGACCTAATTGCCATCTATTGTCTGATCTATTGTTTTCAGCAGCTATTCGTATTTTTTCTAAGTTTTGCCCGATTTAAGAGTAAACATGCTTTTGTGGATATCCTATTACGCATCCCACTGAATGCCAAGTTAGGCCGAAGTGGGTTATTTCGACATATGCTATTTGCAGTTGTGTCATTTTTAGGGATACAGAGTAACAGCCTAAAAGCAGGTTTTTTTTCTATTTCCGACAGTACTTTAGTGCTGCCTCTGACTGATTCCTTATCAGCAGAGTGGGAGGGATCTTCTTGGCAAACTAGACAATCTCCAGAAAACTTCACATCACCCAATGTCACGAAGGATGTTTTGATTGATGGTTGCTTTGTGTGGTCTAGTAACTGATTTATGAGCATTAAAACTTATTTACATTTTTTATTCCCGATAATTGATTCTGCTGATACACACAGAAGGAGACTAGCTTGATATTAAGCCTTACAGAAATAATATTGCTGTCTTGCACATGTGTTGATAAATGTTACCTGCACTGGGTGCAACCTGACAAAACAATTACCTCAGTCTGTACCTGCACTGGTGCTGGGGGGATGTAGCGATACCAATCCCTGAATGTAAGGGTGAAATGATGTTTTGAACTATCAATATATTGTACATGTAAATTGTTTGCCCTATGATAAGACTGATAGGAATTAGAAATGGAATTTTGTGATATTATGAATAACAGTTTCAGTAGTTACATATGAATATTTATTATCCATATGGTGAAACATAACCAGTGTCATATATCATATGGACACGTGCACATATAACTTTTGCCTAGCAACCATTGTTTCTGTATTTCTTCGTCTTTGACGTCATTCAACAGGGCAGTCACACTTGCTTTACACACCGTGTTTACTGCACAAATGTATATGAATAAAGTGGATAATAAAGAAATTATTACACTCCACATAACTTATACGAAACTTCTGGAAAATTTCACACTCATTTTGTAAAAGTCGTACACACTTGCTCGTGTAATAATCTCTATGAATTATCTGAATTTCAAACATGATTGTGTGTGTTGGTTAACAAGGATTACAGCAGCTTTTGAGTTATCTTTTGTTTGAGTAGCAACAGGCAGAAAAATGCCAAACTTTGAGATGATTATCATTACTTTGTGTATTTCTATTACATTAATGATATTATCAGGCTTAGTTGGTTTACTACTATTGCAGTACAACCACAATAGTGGAAAATAGCCCTACTAGTCACCCTGTGTGAAATTCACAATGACACAACACACTTGGACATGAAGCATCATCATGGCTACCTGGCATGAAACTGTCTGGAACGTTGGTTATCATGTCTAATATCAAATCATTTCTATTGATGATGCATTGCTTTGTTAGTCTGTGAGTGAAATTGTAGTTTTGAGTGTCAGTCTTATTTTCATTTCAGATAAAACGCAAATTGAAAATACAGTTTGTGTGAACCCAAATGCCAAACAATCTGTCAAACAAACTCTTTCTGTGATGCCAGTGAAAAACAGTACCGCACGATCAAAAGAGAATGTGTCAGTGAAAAATGTTAATGACAATAGCAGTGAACAGAGGAGTGCTGGCAATGGACGACTGTTTGAAGGCCATGTGTTGAGTTATAATGTGTGTGACAAAGTGAAGGACAATGAGATGAGTGTATCCAGTCAGCAGAACAAAAGTGAAGAGTCAGCTCCAGATGTCTCCCCTCCAAAGAGAAGAACATCCAGTCAGGGGTCTGAATTGTAGGTGTTCTTGAAGTACTTGATTCTACAGCTTTGTTTAATTCAAACTCATGACAATAGTCAAATTGTTACATGTGCATATTACTATTAGCCCCCTGATCTCACGGAACTGAAAACACAATTTAAGCCTCAGGTGTTCTCTTTTAGAATTAATTTGAATTTACTGATAAGACCTAAATAATCAGCCTTTGTCCTATCAATATCAACAAAGAGTTCAGTTGGCACAAAATAAAAATACATGCAGATGCAGAATTTGAGTGTGCCCATCCTGCGTCAAGATTAACATTACACCAAGGCATGATTATGAAGTGTTGTAATGCATGGTGTAGCTTGGTTTCATGTGATACTTGTATCTTGGTTATGACAGTGTGTATATGATTATTTGCAGGCCTACGAAGAAGAAATCAAGGCAGTCTCTCAACCTCACTGAAGATGATGATGATGACTTTTTCTTTGGTGAAGACTTGGATGAATTTGATGATGGAGGGAAGTTAGATGAGGGAGACATACTGCAAGACATTGATGATCTGTTGGCATAGTTTGCTTGTCTGTGTGAATGATGGCCATCTTCCTTGGAAATAACTTTAGAGCAGGATCTGAGTTAGTGTGAAAAAAGCAATGAATGTTTGTTGAAAAAACTGTAGTTTGTGACAGTAAATCATTACCAGATTACCTGTTATTTAGGAAGGATTCTTAGTAGTTACAGGGTCCAAAGTGAAGATCATTTTACTGTTAATAAGTTTGCAGATAGTTTTAATGGGGTTTCTTCCATACGATTTTTACACCCAAGTTGTGGTTTTATTTTGCCTCACTAAGTCAGTCCTCATGTTCATTGTTACCACTGACATAATATTCATAAGTTCAAAGTCACTGCCAGTGAAACTTTCAGTTTTGTTCGATCATGTTTCATAGGGATAGACATTGGAAGTTTAAAGGATTGCTAAATATTTCGTGGAGGTCAAAGCTGTATTGCAATATGTATCATAATATATTATGCAATTATAATTTTTTAATTCAAAAGCAATTTGAACTCCAATGTATTCTTACATGTTCTTTTGCATAATTATATAGATATCTTATTGCAACAGTGAGGAGCTTGACAGTATATCTTTCTAAATCTGAGGGACTCTATTCCAGGTCTCCATAGGGCTTTGATGAATGTACGTAGAGCTGTACAACCAGTGTTAAAAAGGAAAAAGGGATATATGTGCCAACAGAAAGTTTTTCTTGTTGTAGGATATTTTCTTAAAAGTAAGTTAACCATATATGCTAACTGAATAAGTAAAAGGAGAAAAACAAACAGAACTTGTTGAATGGACTGTTTAACATGTGATTTATTATCAAAAGTGACTGGCCTGTGGCAGAGGTACAAGGCTGGCTGCAAGGAACTCCTGTGTAGGAGAGTGTCCCAGATGCTGGTAGTGGTAGTGTACGAATAATGTGAATTCACATAAGGAAGGAGGCCAAAAATATATTTTGAAATTACTGAGGGACAACTGTCTGTACTTTGACATTTTATTGCTGTCTTAAAAAAGAAGTAAGATCTCATTGAGTACATGTATGTATATATAGATATATAATTTGATTTTGCTTGTACTCAGACCCAGTTTATTGCCAAAGTCTGATGTGCAGTATTAATACATGGGAGAAACTGTTTCACACACAAAGTTACTGTTAAGTTTCAATTACTAGTAGTTATATTTGTGAAGAGAAGAATGTCCTGACCCCATCTCATCTTCTGTTGGCGCCAATTCATGCATAAGAAGGTTTTATGGCTTCTTTGTTAACTGTACGTTTATTCACAGTGCAATGTCTTTGGTATATTTTGTTTAACGCAGTATTACCCTGTAAGTGCTATTTTGTCATATATGTGTATTTGTGGACCAATATATTTTGAGGAAGAATTCAGATTTGGAAATGAATGCCTGGAATGGTATTCTAAGTATGAAAGATTTTATGATTGAAAATATGTGACATGTACATATTGAAATAAAATATTTGTATAAGGTCAGTGTTGTTTCCTTCATCTTATCAGTTACTGTCCAGACAGCCATTCTAGTTTAACAAATACATGTACAAAGTTTGATGAACGTATTTACAACTGTCACGTTTGCATTTATCATGAAAGCTTCAACAATCAAGACAAGCTTGTTTATGATCCATGGAATACATATGGCATTTCACTGCTTTTAGTACTATTTCAGCAATACCATAGCCCAGGCGACGAGAAATTAAATTCAGACAATGTATGGAATTTACCCGAGTCCTTTAACCACGAGGCTACTCTACCACCATCTTGTAGTGAATATGGGGAGTGACAACAGTCACTCATCACAATGCTTTCAATACATCCACAATGAAGAGCAGCAGTACTGATGCAGCACTAACAAATAATCACACTCTCTTCCGTCCATCTGACGAGGGCATCCAATGTGGTGTAATGCAATGTGCAGACGGATGCTCCTTTCTTGCACTCTTTGTACACTCTTCTGTCCCCTTGTAATCCAAGGTTTTCATGATGGCAAGATGAAAAGTTGTCTTTTTGCCATAATCCAATGGTCATCAGACGTTAAGGTTTGGCAGGGAACTGGGCATGAGAAAGGAAAGGCTGGTGTAATTTCTATTCAGCAAGAAATGTTGACAGGTGAATTCTCTGTGGATACACATGAAAAGTTGTTTGACATCCGTGTTTGTATCAAACAACATAGAGATAGCAGTGAACAACATACAGGCTTGTTCTTTCTACCACCAATGCAGCAAACACTTTCATTGCCCATCTTACTCTCAGTGTACAGTGGACAAAGTTTCAACATCCCAGTCTGGCAGAGATTGATAGAACATCTTGTAACAGTATTAGCACCTATATATTTACAAAACATGAAATATCTTGACAGTGTAGGTACACTTTTGACACAACATTTCTTCATATTAATATGTTCTAATATGATGAGACCTAAAATGGTGTGCCGTTTACTATGGTGTGTCACTACCATGACCACATTTGCTATCAGTTCTCTGTGCTGAGAATGGGGCGGTGGGGCAGTCTATTGGTTAAAGCATCCGCTCGTCAAGCCGAAGATCCGGGTTCGATTCCCGTCATGGGATTCACATTCAGCATAACTGTTGAACTTTGTATAAGGTTTATTTCATCATATCAAGAAGGGGGAGTAGCCTTGTGGTTAAACTAAAGCGTTCACTCGTCATGTCAAAGACCTGCATTCGATTCCCCACATGGGTACAACATGTGAAGCCCATTTCTGGTGTCCCCGGCCATGATCTTGCTGGAATATTGCTAAAAGCGGTGTAAAACTAATTCATTCACTCTCTCACTCACTGTGCTGAGAACAGCCCTTTAATATCAAAATGTGTGTTTTGGACTACATGTAAGATTTTGAGAACCATATCTTACACAACACAAAAGTGAGCTGAAAAGTGACAGCTGTCGTGAAAAGAACGACAGATGCACATGACAATCATACACATTTATTTACAATATATGTACACATGCAGATATTTATCCTGCAACACTGGCCTCTACATATTGCTGTACACAGATTGAAAGTGCTGCCATGATGTTAGGATATGTTTACATCTTGTGTAAACCATGTCATCATGTCATTTACATTTCCAATCAAATAATTGTGGGATTGACTTTGTGTTTGATCTGGTATTGTTTTGAAATTTGTAGACATGTCATAAGAAAACAGATGTGTTGTGCATGCCATCTACAAATCTGTATTCAAATGAACATTTCTAAAGAACACACATCACACAAAGACAGATGCATTTCAGTCATTTGAGACACCATTGCTCAATTGAAATATGATTGAAATATCTGAGGAAGATTTTGTTATTTCTGACATTTCTCAACTTCACTGATGTCTGATGACCTCATTTACAACAAAATAATACAAAAAAAGCCAATGTTAAAATATACAACTTAATCATAATAGAGTTTAAGATAAGCCAGCTTTCGATGATATTTCTTCTCTTCTTTCGTGCTGAGTAACTGAAAGAAAAATGATGAGTAATCAAATTACATCCAGTGAGTGAGTTTAGTTTTATACTGCACTCAGCAATATTCCAGCTATGTGACGGAGGTCTGTAAATAATCCAGAGAGAACAGTGTTATCTGCAGGAAAGGTGAAAATACCATAAATGTCCAGGCACGTATAAGCCGTTGAAACTAAGGAAAAAGATATCTCACAGATAGGAGTGAAAGTTTGGATATTTTGCCACACAAATAGTAGCCAGTATTGTAAAGAAACATGTGTTCCCTTCATTTCAAGTGAAAATAAGTTGTCTTGGCTCTAAGCATCCCTATCAAACTTTTGATGGTTCATCACTGGTATATGCATGTTTTTAAAAGATAAGCAGCATCAGAGAAAACAGAAAAAAGCCAAGGTCAAGTACTGGTATTTCCCTTTTCGTTACAATTGTATACAACGTGATTGGGTCCCTGTCACACTATAACATGCTGTGTTCTAATTACTTTTGAAGAAACATCTGACAACATACATGTATTGCATTTATTACAAATGTTCTAATTTGACTTGAACCAATTCTGAGATATGATAATAAAGCTAAGCTGAGGTGTAGGCTATTTTTAACTGTTCATAAAACATTGTTGTCAACTGTTTTGGCACTCTTTATATTTTCCTGTTAAAAGGTCATATTCTACAAACCTTATCTGTATTTTTCTGTATGGTGCTTGTGACTTTGACTTCGGGCAACATGATTGGAGTTCCGCCAAATGACTGGTGCCATTGAACCATTCTGTTCTTGGGGCTCTGGTGCTCATATGTACCAGGCCTGGAAAGAGAAGTCCACAGTCAACATCATTCCTATACAGTTCGATCCATGCTAAAGTATATCAGATAACACCAGTTAGATTGGTTATTATGACCTCCACCATGATGTTAAGTGTTTGGTTCCAAATAATAACAAGCCAGAGAATGTGAGCTAGGTTCACTAATACCCCCAACTGAGACTCCCCACTTCTGCTGAATGACAATTAAGAATGATTATTCTGGACAAACTTTGCACTGCACGTTTTCCTGTAAACAAAGACACCATTACCCAAATATGAAAACAATCCATTAAATGATTGTAAAGTTATTGGTTAAACAAAAATGTCTCCAAACAGTCAGTTGTAATGAATTTCTTGGTTTAATTAAATACCGCTGACCCTTTTCAGTCCGAGATATAATAGCTGATTGTTAAAATATGTCAAATTTTAAAATATAGCAGATATACATAAACATATTTACTGAATACAACCCACGCTATGTGCCAAGCCTGCTAGATCCTGTTTCCTGAGTGAGTGAGTGAGTTTAGTATTACACCACACCAGACATGGGTTCAATTACTTTGAAATGTAATTAATTAAATTACAATTACATTGATTTTCCTCAATTACAATTACAAATACAATTACACCTTAAATTAAAATGTAATTAATTAAATTACAATTACATTACCAATGTAATTAATTACAATTACAAATTACTTTGTTACAAAAAACAAAACAAATATATTTCTGTATTCCTTTAATCAACAAGATATCGATGTTGGTAAACAGTGGTCACTAAATCCAATTCATATTTTTGTCATCAAAAAGTGAAATGCAAAGTTAGATTATATCTACAATGTACACTATTTGATCAAATTTGTATTTTGCATATTTCTTTGGGCTTATTATCAAATACACACCTCTATCATCTCTTGTTGCAAAAAACACTTTGTCCACCACTGTTACTTTAGGTGTACTGTATCAAGACATCACAATCAGCCGGTCTCTCTATCTGACATAATCCACATTAACATACTAAAGGATTTGTCAACTTGGATTTATGGCTTATTACCTTTCATGATTATAAAAATAGACTACAGGTCAGTAAGATTTTGAATATCATATCCTATGAGAAATAAACAAAGAGGCCATTTTGATAGGAACTTGACTAATAGTACTGTTAATCCCCCATTTCCTCAAATACCAACCTACATTCAGTCATGCGTTACTGATTCCCTTTGTTTCACAAATGTGCAGATGGTGATAGTTACAAAGGCTTAGACATTCAAATCTCTTTCAAACCTTAACACCTGCTAGAGTATATACCGACAACAAGCATCTTATTGAAAAACACTCCTTTGTCCTCCTTATTGTACAGAATATAATTGCAAGAGTTGCCTGATGACCACCAAAATAAAAAAGTGAGATGTAATTTGATGTAATTGAAAAAGTAATTGAAAAATTCAATTACATTGAGATTTTAATTAATTAAATTACAATTACAAATTACATTTTAAACATTCAATTACAAATTACATGCAATTACATAGATTTTTGTAATTAATTACATTCAATTACAATTACAAATTACAATTACCCCATGTCTGCACCACACTCTGCAATATTCCAGCTATATGGCGACGGTCTGTAAATAATTGAGTCTGGACCAGACAATCCAGTGATCAACAGCATGACCATCAGTCTGCGCAACTGGGAACCGATGGCGTGTCAACCAAGTCAGCGAGCCTGACCACCCGATCCCGTTAAGACGCATCTTACAACAAGCATGGGTTACTGAAGATCAATATTCTAACCCGGACCTTCACGGGTATTCCTGTTTCCTGAAGTATGGTATAATGATAAACATGGTCAATAACATTCATTTTTTATCTTAGAAAGCTATTAATCAAATCATGTGTGTTTGCAAGTGGATTTAAGGATGGGGATGTTTCACAGACAGATTGCTTGTTTTGCTGGTAAAGCAAACAATGCTGCATGATATGAGCCCAACGTGTACGATTCATGAAGTAATGTGTCAGTGTCACTCAGTACGTTCCTCCTGTACAAAGGCTACCTCTCCCCTCTTCATCTACACTATCTGCTACCTACATCTGAAGTAACAGCTACCTACCCAGGGAGAACCTCACTGATGTCCCTTCGGTACACAGGAAACCTCTCTGCCCCTACTTCAAATGGTTTCCTCGATGTTGAGAATGTTCTGGGATCTGTGCAGGTTGTTTGGTAGACCAAGGGACTAGGTGTCTGAAACTAATTACAAAAAGAAATGTTTTACTGGTATAATGTCAGATATGTGGTATAAAGTTATCATTTGACTTTACTATGTAATACCATTGCAATAAGTTTACTTCATTAAAGGATTAACAAAATAAAAATGGTACAAACAATTTGTTCAGATTACCTTTATTTATTTAAACTGAAACGAATAAAAGCCCCACTGATGTTACTGCACAACACTGAATGTTATGTGAACAAGTCTGTTCAACTATCGTGACCTAACTCTGCTTACCTTTGCATCTGAAGGTATCCTGTTTGATGTCCTAGCTCCCGAGTGTGTAGCCCTTTTCACTGGTAATTTTGTTCTTCACACCATACCAGAAGTTTGTTTTCTGAATTACAACAAGTATTAGAATAATGCTAGCAGTGATAATAAACTTAATCATAACAATATTACCAAACAGTTGATGGTATTGGCAAACGATTAATTATACCATCGAACAATAATTATTACCACAACGAGTGATATACAGTCAAATCCCGATGAGTCGAATGCCGGTGTCTCGAATATAATGCATAACTCGAAGTACCTGTCGGTCCCGACCATTCCCTGTTATAGTTGTCATCATTTGATTTCCGGTTACACGAATTCGACTCATAAATACACACGATGACTCGAGAAAGGAACTTTGGTCCCATGCGATTCAAACAACAGCAATCTTGTATACATAAGCCAAAGTCAGTCAATGAGAAGTTGATTGGTGTAGCAAACTGATCCAATTAACAAACCAGCGTGGCTCACACCTTTCCGCCATTGACCGGTTAGTTCAAAAGGCAGATTAGTGATTTTACGGAAATCACTGTCTGTGCTAATCAGACTGGAACTGGTAAGGTGCCCCTATTAGTGATATGGAAATCATTAGATAAACAAATGCTTAGGCGGAGGAATTAGGACTGGATCATCTTCTTTTCTACCCTCATAGACATACCTATGTCTCGAATACATCGATAAGTCGAATTTATTACTTGGTCCCCAGCGATTCGACTCATCGGGATTTGACTGTATATTGGGATTCAGATATTAAGATATTCAAGTATAAAATACTAGTTTCAACATGATGAGTAATAGCTCAGAGAAAGACACCGGTCTAAAGTAATAACAACTCATCTTACAAACACACTATTCAAAAGGTATAAGTTATTTCTACATAGTTTGAAATATACTTCAACATAAATCCTTGTCTTGGGTAACAAGGTCTCATCTCTTAGACACATTTTTCAGAAAGACAAAATTATGTCTACATTGTTTCATATATTGCCATAGGCTGTCTCCGAACTTGACCCTCATCTTGCATCTGATTTGGAACTGAACATGATGCTACTATGAACAGTATTTTTGGTACTGAGCTTTGTTCCACAATATGACCAAAGAGATCTATGTAATGGTGGTTAGATTAGTTTAATATATTACAGAAGTGCAGGTCTGTGTGGGATTTGTTTGTTTGTCTGTTGTTTAATGCTGAACTCAGCAATATTCCAGCTACATGGCAATGGTCTGTAAATAATCAAATCTGGATCAGACAATGCAGTGATCAACAGCATGAGCATCGATGGGCACAATTGGGATCCGAGGACGGGTGTCAGCCAAGTCAGCCAATCTTACTACCCGATCATGTTCGTCGCCTCATATGAAGAAGCATGGGTTGCTGAAGACAAATCCTAACCCGGATCTTCACGGGTGTATGTGTGGGAAGAAAAGTGATGCTTGTGTATGGTATTGAGAGACCAAGGTTAACTAGTGATCACATTTGGGACTGAACTCACAATCAAATGATCCTTTTGCAACTAATACGACAAGAAAGCATCCATTAGATTTTTATGGGGAGGATATGAATTTCTTAAATGAATACTCTGATCAGAAATATAACATAAAGGAAGTTTTTTTCTGGCAGCAGTGAAAAAAGGAATAGTTTGTTTTGTGGAAAATATTCAGACCTTAAATTTTATGTGTGAATTGTGAAAATGAATAGATTGTTTAATGGTGCTCAGTGAATATATAGTTTGTTGGATACATACAGTTAAAAAAAAAGATTGTTATCAAAACACAGCTCCCTCAAATCCCTACAAAAAATCAAATGGAAACTCCCAGAGAGTAACTGGAACCACTGGACCACCTTGCTCCTGATTATTATCTTGGAGATATGTACTGATGCATACAACTCAGTATCTCTAGCAATGTAGGATTATAGCCATACCTCCTCATTTTCATAGCAGCCTGGTCCTCTGTGGGGAGCACCTCGAAGCGGGACTACCTCATTACCAAAACGATTCGGTGGCATTTTAGTGGGAAACAGTTCCCTATTTAGAGTTGTCATGAAGGCAACCTTGGGTCTTTTATCCACTGAAATGAAAGAAGACACTGTTTGTAAAGGTAGGTAATTAAAATACAATAAAGGTTTCTCAAATGTATTTATGAATATAAACTCTGCAAAACAATTTGAAAATATACACGAAATAATAGGTTTGATTGAAACCTTTCTTCACGATTTTCTCTTGTCATTATGAATATCTTGGCTATTACAGCTGTATTGACTCACTGAAGTGTGTGTATGTTCCAAATGGCCATAGGCATTGGGGTAAGACTTCCGCCCGTATCCCCCCTAAATTTTAACAATGAGGAAAAATTGGAAAGATTTCCGCCCGTAACCCCCCGTATTGTTTAAAATCATTATATGCCTAAGAATATACGCCAATGTTTTTTTTCTAAACAGCCTATGCCTAACCCTAACACCAAACCTAACCCTAAACCCTCGAAATAATCCCAATGAATAGAATACATTTCAAGCGGGGGTTACGGGCGGAACTCTTACCCCAATCTGTGGTATAAACAGAACCACTTGCGTTTTCCAAATACACGAATTTAGGGGACCTGGACCACAATGTTGTTAACATTGTTGACGGTTGGGATCACTCAAAGACGTACAATACATCTTTGGATCAATCGACCTTATCCTTTGCAATATCGTTTTCCTCCTACATACACCAATAGCATACATCAAATTAATCATATAAAATATATTAGACTTACCCTCCATTTTGAGGGATCACAGTTGACTGCAGTTTCACTAAAGTGTCCCTATTTCCTTGTAGCTTCTCGTAGTTACGCGTTACTATGGTTCTTGCGCATGTGCGGAATCGATTTTTGCCAGGAAGTGTCGCAAAGCTCGATTCCGGTTGTCGTAAATAGGCATGTCCACCGGCAAGTGCGTGTTGTTTTTGACGATGTTTATTTTCATGATTTAGCCTAGAATTATCTAGTCTCTGCTTGCTGTGTAAAGGATGGTGTCAATGAAAAACTGATCTTTGAAAAGGTGAATAAAATTTCATTTGAGAAGTTTTGTAAACCAAAACGTCAAAGTAGTTATGCAAGGAGTTCCCGTTGACATTGTCATTTTCAGTGCTTTACTGTTTATGACTTTTAACTTTTTTTGACTTCACTTTATTCTTGTCAACGAAAGGGTGAACTTAATAGCATACGAATCCTTATATACAGGCCATATACAAAGTAAAGTCAATTGCTTTTTATATTTTTACACCCCAGTTATTAGTATTTCTATTTATTTGGCGATTTTGTGTTCTTCTTGTCTTAACATTTTGTTTATAAATAGCCGTATAAAAGTACCATCATAACTGGAAAAGTGAAGTAAAAAAAGATATATTTTTTTTGCTCTAAGAGGTCCAAATCGCCTGTGTGGTGTAGTGGATAGATCGTCCGCCTGGAAAGCTAAAGGTCAGTGGATTGATTTACCTACTGTATCATACCATAAGGTGTTGAAAGATGGAACTTCTTGTAACCGTCCCAGGTGAATTCAGGGGATAAATGAAGGTTGGTTCGGAGTTTGTAAAATGTGTTTTTGAATTGGGTGTATATGTAACTGCAGCATGGCTAGATAGAACAAGTATATATGGACGACAACTTTAATTCTAGAGCATGATGTTTCGATACAGTTTTTTGTATTGTTTTCAAGTATGAATGTTACAGGGAGAGAACAGGTGATATATATACAACAGAAGACCAATTAACAAGGCTGAGGCAATATTAACAATGTGATGATAACGAATACAGGGATAACAAAGAATTACAGGGATAAACATGGCTTCTAATTGCCTGAAGATCTGGTGTAGTAAAAGCACATACACAGATGCATGTTGCTATGTTATGAAGATAATAGTAATAATAATGTGCTTTGTCCAATTATCAACCAAAAGCATTCTGAAACCACTGCATAATTGTAATGGTTATAATGTGTCGTCATATGCGTAGGGGTGGTGGGATAGCCTAGTGGTTAAGGCGTTCGCTCGTCACGCTGAAGACCGGGTTCAGTTACCCACATGGGCATATTGTGAAGCACATATCTGGTGTCCCCAACATGATATTGCTCGGGGGGGAATACAAACTCACTCACTCATTATGCATATGATGTTACAGTTAGTGACAATAGTACGCCCACTTGCGCTTGCCCATGCACACACTCATATATATATTTATATATATTTATATATATATATATATATTTGTGATGTAAATTTGATTTCACTGAAAATGGTACGAGCTAACTACCCATGTTAACATGGTTCCTTATATATCAGTACCACTGTGATATGTCTTCTTGTTGCTTCAAGCCCCAGCATGTGTTGTTTCAGTAGTGATCTCCCAGGCCATCTGTCCCCATCGTCATGTCCAGGTCATCTGAGGAGGTGCTGCTCATAGTCAACCATGTACGACAAAAGAAAACTGATGGAACACTGTATCTCATGGGCACCCGCTTGGCATGGATGCCAGGGGGCAAGAACTCTTTCACCATCAGTCACATGTATGCCAACATTAAAAGTAGGTTTTCTTATTCTAGCTTCATATTTTAGTCTTGCATCATCAGTGTTCCTGTTTACTGTGAAATAGGACCGATCCAAAATATTTATTATAGCAGTATTTGCCAGTCCAGTAAATCAGTAAATTCTTTACTGACCATAAACACAGGCCATGAAGAAAATTGTATTGACACTGTACTTCTGTGTAGAAATCATAAAAGGAGGCATGGTGTTAGATGTTACTTTGCCAGCTATTTCAGTTTGGGATCCTGTATTTCTCTTCAACCCACCCATAAAGATCCAGATCAGAATTTGATTTCAACAACCCATACTTGTCTGAGAGGTGACTAACAGGATCGGGTGGTCAGACACACTGACTTGGTTGACACGTCATCATATCCCAGTTGCGTAGATCGGTGCTCATGCTTTTGATCACTGGATTTCTGGTCCAGACTCCAATATTTAAAGACCACTGCCAGACACCTGTACAGTGTTAAACAACAAACAAACATTTCTCTTCAACCAAAATGTAGTCTGGATAAGATCTGTACTGGTGAAGTTCTAGATTATTGTTGATTATTTTGTTATTGCATTTACACCCTTGTCACAATAAGATAATTATTCAAAATTCACTCAAAAGTTTTCAGTCTGTGGAACATGTTTTTAATGTTTGTGATGGGATTCACATTCAGCATAACTGTTGAACTTTGTATAAGGTTTATTTCATCATATCAAGAAGGGGGAGTAGCCTTGTGGTTTAAAGGAGAATACGAACGAAAACAAAACTTTTGATATATTGTAAAGGATATTCTAAAAATCACATTCCGTGATTAAAATTGAACAAAAAGTTTGTAAAATAGCAATAAAAACACAAAAACGTACTCATATTCCGCCTATTACGGAAACACCGACAGTTAATGAGCAGAGGGGGTATCACGTGACATGACGTCATAAGTGCCTATTGCTGATGGCTTCCTCTTTGATTTTACCTCACAACTTAACAGTGTCCGTGGATTCTGAAGCAGCAAAAGATGTCCCTGATTCATTTCTGAAATGGATGTTAGACTGTATCAATACGATCCGATTTTACATCTTGCAAAACAATCTTCCACTGAAGATGAAGAAGAAGAATCAAGCGAAACGAAGGCACCGCTTGAGGTCAAAATAAATTTAAAAATATACCATATCATTTAACAAGATTTGTCAGCAAAATGTCATACAGTTCCAGCCAGCAAACTCACCCCTATAAATATATGACCAGTCACTAAGAATTATTTTAAAAAAATGTGATTACAGTTCATTTTGTGTCAAATGGGTGACTGTAGGGTGTCTGGGATTTAGAAACAAAATAATTCAGACGAGGGAAAATATAAATTATCTGCTTCAAAAATTACACTGGAATTATATTTTGTTGAAAAAAATTAGGATCCTAGTTCTCATTAATAACGTATCAAGTCTCGATACAAGATCCCAGCCTGGTTGAGCAGAGATAATATTCGCGACGCAGATAAGTTATTCCCCGAAAACTGGTGAATTATAAAATACTAGTCAGGACAACGTATGTTCCCCATTGTTATCCCCTGCAACGCGTTTTGCGGGGGGTATTAAAATGGACTCTGTCCGTCGTCCGTCCGTCCGTCCGTGCACATTTGTCTTTTCCGGAGCAGAACTCTAAAACCTTTCAATATGTCATCACCAAACTTGGCACATAGATAGATCTGGTGGTGTACTGGTGCCTTTGGGTCGTTTTGGAATTCTGAATAAAACATTTTTGGCGTTTCCATGGCAACAAGTTCGACTTAGAATGAAATTAGTGGTAGTGCACTTTTCCGGAGCAGAACTCTAAAACCATTCTATGTTTCTTCACCAAACTTGGCACATACATAGATCTGATGGTGTACTGGTGCCTTTTGGTAGTTTTGGATTTCTGTATAAAATATTTTTTGCATTTCCATGGCAACAAGTTTGACATAGACTGAAATTGGCGATAGTGCTCCTTTCTGGAGGAGAACTTTAAAAACCTTTCAATACTCTCCTTCCACTTTTGTATATACACACCTAAATATTTGACATAATTATAACTCGTAGACATAATCATCATGAGTATTTTGCCATTGCGGGGGATATTGATGACTTTGTCTTCTTGTTTGGTTATGGAATTAGTTATGGTACTCGGTCATAGCCTTAGAATGACATCCTGTCAGCCAATGAGAATACAGAACAACTTTCACGGCACACACTACTGACAAATAGCGAGTCTGATGCCGACGTGCGTAATTGGACAAAATGGAAAACAATGAAAGCAACAAGTACTTCATGATTTGCCGTTGTATTCGGCAATGTTTAGAGTTGACTGCATCATTTAACGCTCCAAACCGAAAAGAACATTATAGCGAAACATTTTGAAGCTCATGTGAAATCCCTTACTAATTTTGATAATATATATCTCATGTGTTCCAGTCGAACTGCCCCAGCTACAAAATACCCCAGCAAATTTGGTCATTCATTCTAATTTGTTCAAATTTATTTATAATGATTGAATATATGCCGTAAATGCATAGGTTTTGTCAACTTATTATGATATAATGTTCTTCATATAAAAGTTATTAGGAAGTAATATTTCTGATAAATGTTTCATCAGTAAACTCATAACTATGTATATACTTATATATGAAGAACATAATATCAAAATTGACAAAACTATGCATTTATGGCCTATATTAATTCATTTTAAATAAATTGGGGCATTTTGACTACCCCACTGGGGCAATTTGACCAAATTTGCTGGGTCATTTTGTAGCGAGGGCAATTCGACTGGCATTCGGACTTGATTTAATTTATGTTAAAAATACCACTGACAGTAAGTTGTTACAGGGAATGATGGAGTGTAATTAATGAATCTCGTGGGTACTTTTTCCTTTTTCAGCCTAGCTTGGGGATTTCCATACCCCATGCGTGCATGTCTCTTTCATATGCGACTGACTCGAATGATTGCCGAATTTCTCCTGCCGAAATCTGTCATTTCACTTGGAAAACGGAAGAAATGGTGGTTCTTTCCCATGTTCGATGATGCCGTGCATCCCCAGCCAACGCAATACACCATCGTACCATTTACAAAAACGACAGAAACAACACGATTTGTACTAATGTAGCGCTTGGTCTTTGGCAATATGGCGGACTCCAGGCACATTTGACGTCACGAGCAGAAAGGTCACGTGGGTTCCAGCGAAATATGCATAATGGCCGAAGCTGAGATTTACAGAAACTGTTTTCGCGATTAAAACATAATTATACATAATTTTTAATTGAAATTTTCGGAATATGTTTCTGATGACTTTATCTTTCACCCATCAAATTATTGCAATTCACTCGTATTCTCCTTTAACTAAAGCATTCACTCATCATGTCAAAGACCTGCATTCAATTCCCCACATGGGTACAATGTGTGAAGCCCATTTCTGGTGTCCCCGGCCGTGATCTTGCTGGAATATTGCTAAAAGTAGCAGTAAAACCAAACTCAATCACTCACTCATTATCAAGAAAGAAGGAACACATGTTTAACAATATCTGTTGATACTTGGGGACTGTATGAAAGGTGAAGTTAAGTGAGGTGGTCCCTGCTTTGTATGTGCTGTTATATGGGTATTATTGCACATGTTATCATGGAATAGGATTTGTTTACACTGTGTATCACAAAGATTATTTCCAGTAATATCTAGAGATGGGCACACAGTACGTAATGCTTGGGGAGGTTGACTAGCATGATGAACATGGAGGGCACCCTGTCCTAGTGTTGTATATGGTGTAGGAATGGTGTGTGCTCACACTGTCTGATGCTGAATTTACTATTTTACAGTCACTATGACCAAAGTATAATTGCTCCCATTGCTTGTGTTTTGGGGTATTCAGAATATGGAGTCTAATTATTACTTATAAGATTATGTAACAATTGCAGCACAGAAAATTTCACCAGACACCAAAGATAAGGTGCAGCTGCAGCTGGTGATGCACGATGGTGGTGCAAACACATTCCACTTCAACAACGCTGAGGGACGGGCTGCACAGATCAGGGATCGGGACAGCGTCAAGGAGCTGCTGCAGCAACTGCTGCCAAAGTTCAGAATTAAAATAAGCAGTGAACTAGAGGAAAAAAACAGGTACTTGTGCTTCAAGTGACACAGAGCTTAAAGTACAGTGCCTTGAAACATATCATCTGTTATGTTATTGTGGTATGTGTAATTGCAGTGATGCCTGCCCAAACTGGCACTCCACGGGACCGAAATAAAATGCCGGTTTAGACAGGATGCCGGATTAGACAGTGACGTTCATTTTCAAACATGGCTGCCATTTACACTAGCCAATCTCTTTATTCCTGATTATCTAGCGTGCCGAGAGGAGTGTATTGGATTAAGGCCCCCTTGATTGGACTGCTCATACCCATGCCGGCTTAGAAGCATTTGATTCACTGCGCAATCAGTACTTCCTGATTATCTAGCTTGACAAGAGGATTAATTAGTGTATTGGATTATGGGAGCTTGATTGGACTGCTGATACCCATGCCGGTGTTAATTACAGTTAAAATTGCTTGTTGAGACCGGAAAGCGTGCTGAAATACGGAATAGACAGGTGCAGGATTAAACAATGTTTTAATGATCATAATGTCGTTGTAAAAATGGCGGGACCAAAATTTTATGCCAGTTTTGACAGTGTGCCAGATTAGGCAGGTGCAGGTTTCACTGTAGTTGTTTAGAAGCTTAGAAACAGCTACTATATTACTAGTACCTGTCATCTATCCATTAGTTGTCCACAACATACCCTTGACAACGGATGGTGATCCACCCTTCTGTTGTCAGTTATGTTGTGGTCAAGAAATGGGTAGATCACATCTGTTGTCATGGTTATGTTGTGGTCAAGAAATGGGTAGATCACATCTGTTGTCTTGGTTATGTTGTGGTCAAGAAATGGATAAATCACATCTGTTGTCATGGTTATGTTGTGAACAAGAAATGGGTAGATCACATCTGTTGTCATGGTTATGTTGTGGTCAAGAAATGGGTAGATCACATCTGTTGTCATGGTTATGTTGTGGTCAAGAAATGGAGAAATCACATCTGTTGTCATGGTTATGTTGTGGACAAGAAATGGGTTGATCACATCTGTTGTCATGGTTATGTTGTGGTCAAGAAATGGGTAGATCACATCTGTTGTCATGGTTATGTTGTGGTCAAGAAATGGGTAGATCACATCTGTTGTCATGGTTATGTTGTGGTCAAGAAATGGGTAGATCACATCTGTTGTCATGGTTATGTTGTGGTCAAGAAATGGGTTGATCACATCTGTTGTCATGGTTATGTTGTGGACAAGAAATGGGTTGATCACATCTGTTGTCATGGTTATATTGTGAACAAGAAATGGGTAGATCTTCTGTTGTCAGTTATGTTGTGAACAAGAAATGGGTAGATCACATCTGTTGTCATGGTTATATTGTGAACAAGAAATGGATAAATCACATCTGTTTTTTTGGTTATGTTGTGGTCAAGAAATGGATTATATTGTCATGGTTATGTTGCGGATATTAGATGTATATATTACCTGTCATTATTTATTGTTTCAGCATTGTTAAGTAAACTTTAGGCTTACCATATTTACTCTGTCTGTAAGGTGAGATAATTGTGTAGGGTATACTTTGTGCCAGAGAAGAACCTGAAGAAGAAAAAATATTTTCGATTATTCATTATTGTGTTAGTGCTGTTTGAGGATATTAACAGTCGCAAACAGACGTTTTCAAAACAATATTTGGAGTGTAAACACTGTTACTTTAATGACATTAACCCAGATTACATATAATTTTTGGCCTCTGTATTTTATTGACCTTGTAGATGATAAGTCTGACATTTGTCTTAATCCTCTGAATACCATGTACTACTGGTTATTGTTGATTTCCAGAATGCTGCAGGAAGACCCAGAGTTGTTTCAGCTGTACAAGGACCTTGTGGTCAGTCAGGTGATCTCTGCCGAGGAGTTCTGGGCTTCACGTGCTCATGTATGTATCTTGTGTGCTGACACTGAGTATAACCATATCGCCTCACTTTAGTGTCACTGCCTGTTTGTTTGGTAGACATGGTAGAAGTACTAGAACAGGAAGAGAGGACCGCATAAACCATAACGCCTCACTTCCTGTTTGTTTGGTAGACATTAGGGGTGGGTATTGCAGAGAATTTTCATATTGCGATATATTGCGATGCGAAAGCATATATTGCGATATGTATTGCAATATATTGCAAGAAGTATTTTTAAACAAAAAACTACTTATAATCGAGTTAATGCTTGATTTATAAAGCATGAACACAACAAAATCACTATGCTTGATTAAGCTTTAATAAAAACTTTTAATCATGGCAAATAAAAATGTAAATAGTATTTGGCACAAATGAAACAAGGAAATATCTGAAGATTTCCGAGTGTTCCGTAGTTTTCTGAATGCAAGTCAAAATACCGGTTTTCGATCATGGTATCGCAATGCGTATCGTTTTCATGTCTGAACCGGTAAATACCGGTAAACCGGTTATATTGCGCAGCCCTAGTAGACATGGTAGAGCAAGGGAGGGAGGACCATATAAACCATAACACCTCACTTCCTGATTGTTTGGGCGGTGGGGTAGCCTAGTGGTTAAATCGTTGGCTCGTCACGCAGAAGACCCGGGTTCGAATCCCCACATGGGTACAATGTGTGAAGCCCATTTCTGGTGTCCCCCGCCATGATGTTGCTGGAATATTGCTAAAAGCGGCGTAAAACCAAACTCAGTCAGTCAGTCCTGATTGTTTGGTATACAGGGTAGAACAGGGAGAGAGGACCACGTAAACCATAACACCTCACTTCCTGTTTGTTTGGTAGACATGGTAGAGCAAGGGAGAGAGGACCAATTGGGTAAAGTATACCACCTCACTTCCTGTCTGTTTGGTAGACATGGTAGAACAGGAAGAGAGGACCACATAAACCATAACACCTCACTTCCTGTTTGTTTGGTAGACATGGTAGAGCAGGGGAGAGAGGACCAATTGGGTAAACCATACCACCTCACTTCCTGTCTGTTTGGTAGACATGGTAGAACAGGAAGAGAGGACCACATAAACCATAACACCTCACTTCCTGTTTGTTTGGTAGACATGGTAGAGCAGGGGAGAGAGGACCAATTGGGTAAACCATACCACCTCACTTCCTGTCTGTTTGGTAGACATGGTAGAACAGGAAGAGAGGACCACATAAACCATAACACCTCACTTCCTGTTTGTTTGGTAGACATGGTAGAGCAGGGGAGAGAGGACCAATTGGGTAAACCATACCACCTCACTTCCTGTCTGTTTGGTAGACATGGTAGAACAGGAAGAGAGGACCACATAAACCATAACACCTCACTTCCTGTTTGTTTGGTAGACCTGGTAGAACAGGGAGAGAGGACCACGTAAACCATAACTCCTCACTTCCTGTTTGTTTGGAACCGTCTCTGTGGTGTAGTGGTTAGAGCGTCGCCCGGAGAGCAGGAGGTCGCGGGTTCGATCCCCGACCGCGTCATACCAAAAGACGTTAAAATATGGTACTTGTTGGTCCCTGCCTGGCGCTCAGCATTAATGGGTACAACAAGGACCGGTCGGCTCGGAGTCAGTATAATGTGTTTGAGTGGGGTATTCATGCTTCACTGCGGCATGGTATCTCAGTGGGCTAGCACTATATAAACCAGCTTAAGTCTGGGCTAGTACAAGCAGCCGCACATACACAAACGCACGCATGCACGTCGTCATATGAGCGAAATATTCTCAAGTACGACGTTAAACCCAATTTCACTTCACCTCACCTGTTTGTTTGGTAGACATAGTAGAGCAGGGTAGAGAGGACCAATTGGGTAAACCATAACACCTCACATCCTGTTTGTTTGGTAGACTTGGTAGAGCAGGGGAGAGAGGACCAATTGGGTGAACCATAACACCTCACTTCCTGTTTGTTTGGTAGAAATGGTAGAGCAGGGGAAAGAGGACCAGTTGGGTGAACCATAACACCTCACTTCCTGATTGTTTGGTAGACATGGTAGAGCAGGGGAGAGAGGACCAGATAAGCCATACCGCCTCACTTCCTGATTGTTTGGTAGACATGGCAGAGCAGGAGAGAGAGGACCACGTAAACCATAACACCTCACTTCCTGATTGTTTGGTAGACATGGTAGAGCAGGGAGAGAGGACCAGATAAGCCATACCGCCTCTCTTCCTGATTGTTTGGTAGACATGGCAGAGCAGGGGAAGAGAGAACCACGTAAACCATAACACCTCACTTCCTGTTTGTTTGGTAGACTTGGTAGAGCAGGGGAGAGTGGACCAGATAAACCATACCGCCTCTCTTCCTGTTTGTTTGGTACACATGGTGGAGCAGGGGAGAGAGGACCACGTTATCCATAACACCTCACTTCCTGATTGTTTGGGCGGTGGGGTAGCCTAGTGGTTAAATCGTTGGCTCGTCACGCAAAAGACCCGGGTTCGAATCCCCACATGGGTACAATGTGTGAAGCCCATTTGTGGTGAACCATAACACCTCCCCACCATGATGTTGCTGGAATATTGCTAAAGCGGAAGAGGACCTTTGTTTGTAGAAACCTCAGTCAGTCAGTCCTAATTGTTTGGTATACAGGGTAGAACAGGGAGAGAGGACCACGTAAACCATAACACCTCACTTCCTGTTTGTTTGGTAGACATGGTAGAGCAAGGGAGAGAGGACCAATTGGGTAAACCATAACACCTCACTTCCTGTCTGTTTGGTAGACATGGTAGAACAGGAAGAGAGGACCACATAAACCATAACACCTCACTTCCTGTTTGTTTGGTAGACATGGTAGAGCAGGGGAGAGAGGACCAATTGGGTAAACCATACCACCTCACTTCCTGTCTGTTTGGTAGACATGGTAGAACAGGAAGAGAGGACCACATAAACCATAACACCTCACTTCCTGTTTGTTTGGTAGAAATGGTAGAGCATGGTAGACATGGTAGAGCAGGGGAGAGAGGACCAATTGGGTAAACCATACCGCCTCACTTCCTGTTTGTTTGGTAGACCTGGTAGAACAGGGAGAGAGGACCACGTAAACCATAACTCCTCACTTCCTGTTTGTTTGGAACTGTCTCTGTGGCGTAGTGGTTAGAGCGTCGCCCGGAGAGCAGGAGGTCGCGGGTTCGATCCCCGACCGCGTCATACCAAAAGACGTTAAAATATGGTACTTGTTGGTCCCTGCCTGGCGCTCAGCATTAATGGGTACAACAAGGACCGGGTCGGCTCGGAGTCAGTATAATGTGTTTGAGTGGGGTATTCATGCTTCACTGCGGCATGGTATCTCAGTGGGCTAGCACTATATAAACCAGCTTAAGTCTGGGCTAGTACAAGCAGCCGCACATACACAACGCATACGCATGCACGCCGTCATATGAGCTGAAATATTCTCAAGTCTGACGTTAAACCCAATTTCACCTCACCTCACCTGTTTGTTTGGTAGACATAGTAGAGCAGGGTAGAGAGGACCAATTGGGTAAACCATAACACCTCACATCCTGTTTGTTTGGTAGACTTGGTAGAGCAGGGGAGAGGGACCACGATTGTTTGGTAGAACCATAACACCTCACTTCCTGTTTGTTTGGTAGACATGGTAGAGCAGGGGGAAGAGGACCAGTTGGGTGAACCATAACACCTCACTTCCTGATTGTTTGGTAGACATGGTAGAGCAGGGGAGAGAGGACCACATAAACCATAAACCCCTCACTTCCTGATTGTTTGGTCTGGTAGAGCAGGGGAGAGAGCAGGGGAGAGGGACCTCGTAAACCATAACGCCTCACTTCCTGATTGTTTGGTAGACATGGCAGAGCAGGGGAGAGAGGACCACGTGAAACCATAACACCTCACTTCCTGTTTGCTTGGTAGACTTGGTAGAGCAGGGGAGAGTGGACCAGATAAACCATACCGCCTCTCTTCCTGTTTGTTTGGTACACATGGTGGAGCAGGGGAGAGAGGACCAATTGGGTAAACCATAACACCTCACTTCCTGATTATTTGGTACACATGGTAGAGCAGGGGAGAGAGGACCAATTGGGTAAACCATAATGCCCCTTTTCCTGTTTGACTGGTAGTCATGGTAGACATGGAGAGAGGACCAGGTAAACCTTAATGCCTCATTTCCTGTTTGACTGGTAGACATGGTAGACATGGAGAGAGGACCAGGTAAACCATAATGCCCCATTTCCTGTTTGACTGGTAGACATGGAGAGAGGACCAGGTAAACCATAATGCCCCATTTCCTGTTTGACTGGTAGACATGGAGAGAGGACCAGGTAAACCGTAATGCCTCATTTCCTGTTTGACTGGTAGACATGGTAGACATGGAGAGAGGACCAGGTAAACCATACCGCCTCATTTTATGTTGTTTTGGTACATATGGTAGAGAGAAAGGACCACCCACACCATCTATTTTGGAGTCAGTATTTGCCTTCTTGAGCTACTATTGCTATCATGTCTGCTATCTCTTTTGTAGAAATTTACGAACTCCACAAGCAAACCAGAAACTAAGCAAGTTGTTGGGATTTCTCCAGCGTTCTTGGTAAGTTAGTTTCAACTTTCTTTGAAGTCTTCTTGCTGAATGTTGTTGTGAATGTTGTTCGAATGTGAAACCCAAGTTTGTTTGAGCTGATAAAGTTAATGCCCAGGCAAGCAGACGGTTCAAAATCCACCAGAGATAGCCAGGCCAACTGCATCTTTTAGTGTGAACATAGTGAATGCTAAACAGTTTCTGATGTCATAAGGTGGTTTATATACTGCAGGCAGATATCAAACAGTTTCTGATGTCATAAGGTGGTTTATGTACTGCAGGCAGATATCAAACAGTTTCTGATGTCATAAGGTGGTTTATATACTGCAGGCAGATATCAAACAGTTTCTGATGTCATAAGGTGGTTTATGTACTGCAGGCAGATATCAAACAGTTTCTAATGTCATAAGGTGGTTTATGTACTGCAGGCAGATATCAAACAGTTTCTGATGTCATAAGGTGGTTTATGTACTGCAGGCAGGGGGCTGTGGGGTAGCCTAATGGTTAAAGCGTTGGCTCGTCACGCCGAAGACCCGGGTTCGATTCCCCACATGGGTAAAATGTGTGAAGCCCATTTCTGGTGTCCCCCGCCGTGATGTTGCTGGAGTATTGCTAAAAGCGGCGTAAAACCAAACTCAGTCAGTCAGTCAGTAGTGCAGGCAGATATCAAACAGTTTCTGATGTCATAAGGTGGTTTATGTACTGCAGGCAGATATCAAACAGTTTCTGATGTCATAAGGTGGTTTATGTACTGCAGGCAGATATCAAGCCTCAAACAGATGGCTGCAATGGTCTGAAGTACAACCTCAATGCTGATATCATCGAGTCTATCTTCAGGACATATCCCATGGGTAAGTATACGCATCCAGTAAATTCCATCCTTCATGTTGTCTTACTGAGTCACTGTAGTTTGAACTTGTTGGCATGGAGTATACTGTGTCTCAGGTGACTGGTCAAGTTATGCTGTGGTATGATCTCATTAAAACTGACATTGGTTGGGGCTAGTACAAGCAGACACATACAGGTACGCAGCATCCATTGATGTACGTTCACATTGGTATACAAGTGCTGTGATCTTAAAACATGATGTTAATCCTCACCTCACCTCACCTCACCTCACCTCACCTCACCTCACTTCACCTCACCTCACCTCACCCTACCTCACCCCAAAGCCATCCCTCGCCTTGTCGATGCAGTATTACTAATTCTGGCATTAAACACTTCTCAGTTGTCATAAGATGTGTGTAAGACTGCTACTCACTGGGAACTGTTTATACACTTGATGGTTTGGATCTTATTTCATGACATTCTGAATTGAAGCCTACTTAGTATTGAGACATTCTTGTGTTCCAGTGAAGAGGAAGCATGCTGAGTATGTGCCACACAAGATGACGGAGAGTGAGTTCTGGACCAGGTTTTTCCAGTCCCACTACTTCCACCGAGATCGCACACACACCGGCACTAAGGATCTGTTTTCTGAATGTGCCAAGAATGATGATGAAGGTAAGAGAGGAGTGTAGTTATCCATTCCACCATGAATGTAAAAATATCATGATTCTGATTGGTCCATCAGAGGTTTCAAATCATAATAACCACCTCCAACTGAAACAAGTGATATTTATGTGATCTGTACTCAAAATTTGATAATCCAACATTCCCATTAATCCAACAATTTGCTGTGCAATGGACGATGTCAGATTATCAAAACTTGACTGTATCATACAGACACCATGATAGAGGAGGTGATAATTGTGAACCTTATTCAGGGTGGAGTCATTTATTTTAGGGAGGTGGGCATACGACCAATCTCATCTGCCCCACCCATGCTACCCACATGATAAATGACCTGTCTCTAACATCCAGTGTGCTATATACAGTGGACTCTGGCAATATGGGCCTCTGTAAACACCGGCACTCTGTCTACATCAGCACAAAGTTTCAGTCCCGGGAGAAAGGCTCTTAATTATCATTTAGAAACATCTGTAAACATCGGCATCTGCCTACTCAGGATATTGGCATTGTTTTTCAGTCCCAACGAAGAAGTTGTTATGAAAACGAATCTGTAAAAAACGGCACATGAAGGACGGTGCAACCCTTTGATGCAATTAGGTCCAAATGATGTAACAACCCACTTCGTGGTTACTTCAGAGATTATTCAGAAACGGGAAGTGTCAATCAGTTTCTGGTTAATTAGTGAGTTGTACGTGTCACTTACATAGAGTAATTAATACATGTAGTGGGCAGTTTGATTGTAAAAACGAGCAAGAGTTTAGTTGATTCGAGGGTATTTAAGGTAAAATCGTATAATGTCAATAGTGTAATAGTCAGTAACAAAAAGTGCAGCTGATAGAAGATTTTCTTTTTCAAACATGTTGTTAATGCTAAAGTGACAGTACGACAGTGAACTTCCTGTGTGCGCTGGTGTCATAAGCGAACTTGCAACCTGCCTAAACCGCCACTCTGTCAAAACCGGCAGTTTTATTTGGTCCCGAGTGATGCCGGTATTGACAGAGTACACTGTATAAGTTCTTGGTGACCGTTAAGAAGGAACTACTTCCAGCACTAATTTGTGTGACAAAGTGAAGGTCAACAACCTGATGTTTCAGATATGAAGGAGGAGATCAGTCGCAATGTGTCAGACCCACTGATTGATCTGTCCCGGATTAGAGACACCGCCATAGAGGAGGTACGCAACTATCTCACACATTTGTCACTTTCCATATGTTTCACTATACATGTTCACAAACTGATGTGTCTTGGATGATATTTTTCACTTGTTCCTGATGGAATTGTAGGACCTTTTGTTGTCTTAAAGATGCAGGGGCGGTGTGGTAGCCTTGTGGTTAAAGCGTCGCTTGTCACGTCGAAGACCCAGGTTCGATTCCCCACTTGGGTACAATGTGTGAAGCCCATTTCTGGTGTCACCTGCAGTGATATTGCTCACTCACTCACTGATGCAGCAACATCTTCCTGAATGTCCGTGTTGCATTTTGTTCTTTGCCTGTTTTTTGCAATATTCACTAAATGAAGGCTGACTGCCATGTCTTCTTGAAGGTCAACTTTCTTCAGCATTCATGTAACAGACATCAGTTGTGTTCACATTATCACATAGGGCCTGTGTATGATGTATGTTAACATACTTCTGGTATTTGATTCAACAGGGTTATCGTGGAATGGTTGAGGACAGCCGGAAGAGCAATAATGTCACCAACTTGTCAATGATCCGCCGCTTCAACCATCACTCTACGATGGTTTTACGGGCGTATGAAGTGAGTACAAGCAACAGCTCCCTAGATGAATCTTCCAAGACAAGCAATGGGGAGAGCAGTCTTCAGAACGGCAGTTCTGTGGAGGTAGCCACACCTTCTACCAGCAAAGGTCATTCTGGGGAACCTGACAGTAAGAAGGTATGGACACAGGGCACTCACTATTGGATGATTAGGATAAATTCTAGTTAATGTATTCAAGGTTATGGCCATTTTATTTGCAGATGAATAACCTACAGTGGATAAAGCATTGCCTACTATACAATTTGTATAGCCCACCATCTGTGTCACACCATCACTAAGTAACCCCATCTATGTGTCACAACATCACCCAACACCACTCACGTCACATCATCTATGTCACACCATCACCCAACACCACCCTTGTCACACCATCTGTGTCACACCATCACCCAACACGATCTGTGTGTCACACCATCACTGAGTAACACCATCTGTGTCACATCACCCAACACCACTCATGTCACATCATCTATGTCACACCATCACCCAACACCACCCTTGTCTGTCACACCATCACCCATCACACCATCACTGAGTACCACCATCTGTGTCACACCATCTGTGTCACACCATCACCCAACACCCAACACGCATTTGTGTGTCACACCATCACTGAGTAACACCATCTGTGTCACACCATCACCCAACACCACCCTTTGTCACACCATCTGTGTCACACCATCTGTGTCACAACATCATCCAACACCACCCTTGTCACATCGTCTATGTCACACCATCACACAACACCACCCTTGTCACACCATCACCCAACACCACCCTTGTCACACCATCTGTGTCACACCATCACCCAACGTCACCCTTGTCACACCATCTGTGTCACACCATCACCAAACACCACCCTTGTCACACCATATGTGTCACACCATCACCCAACACCACCCATGTCATACCATCTGTGTCACACCATCACCCAACACCACCCATGTCATACCATCTGTGTCACACCATCACCCAACACCACCCATGTCATACCGTCTCCTTTTTTTCAGAGAAAAATCCAGGAGAAACTTGAGTACTCGGACCTTCAGAATGATCTGAGGTCGAACCACGTGAACCTGCGACTGGGGAAGATGGAGCGGTACCTGCACGGCCCCACGCCTGTCATGGCTGCCAAGTATACCACCAGTGAGAATGTCATGCAGGCTTTACGTGCTGTAGGAGAGGAGATACAGCACTGGAACCCCCAGCTCACTCAGGTAATGGTTTCACTTAGACCATAGTCTGTCATTGCCATAGGTTCATGTGTTGAAGCATACCAGTTGAGTCAAAAGCAGGTTTTCCTGAGCATCTCCGTATGATCCCTAAGTTGGAGAGGAACACTTTTTATGGATAGACGACTTTTGTATTGCAATAGATGTGATGTGTCAATGTAGATGCTAACGCTATTATCAAGCAAGGTTATATGAAGGGTATTTGAGTTCATACAATTGAAGAGGTTGATGTACCGTGTGATGTCATTACTGATAGTTGTTGTGATTACAGATAATGGCTACGAAGCCAGATGGACAAAGGGTAGGGAAGGGTTATTCTTGATTGACTTTGATTAGATGATGGTAAGCCATAGGGATGTAATAACCTTGATTAGTGTTGATTGTTGGGTTCAGTTCTTTGAGGTTAATTGCCTCTATGAGTTTTCTCATCTCATAGTCTGACCGGTTGTTATCTACACTGAAACGCTGCATCTATTGCGAAAAGGATGTTGTCTATTCATAAAAAGTGTTCCTCTTCATCATACCAGCTTCTAAATACCACTTGTGTTGTGGAATGTAAACATTTATATGGTTAAACACTTTGTTTAATGTAGGTACTGAAGTTGGTCCTTGAACTTTTATGTAACTATCTGTTCGTTCAGTTGAAGCATTGTCTTTCTTGTCTCTGGCATCTCTCTTATGTACCCCTCATCACCTACACCTGACCTGGAGCCTGGGTTAGAATAGGCTCCGGGAGTCTGGGTTAGAATAGGCTCCGGGAGTCTGGGTTAGAATGGGCTCCGGGAGTCTGGGTTAGAATGGGCTCCGGGAGTCTGGGTTAGAATAGGCTCTGGGAGACTGGGTTAGAATGGGCTCTGGGAGTCTGGGTTAGAATAGGCTCCGGGAGTCTGGGTTAGAATGGGCTCCGGGAGTCTGGGTTAGAATAGGCTCCGGGAGACTGGGTTAGATTGGGCTCCAGGAGTCTGGGTTAGAATGGGCTCCGGGAGTCTGGGTTAGAATGGGCTCCGGGAGACTGGGTTAGAATGGGCTCCGGGAGTCTGGGTTAGAATGGGCTCCGGGAGTCTGGGTTAGAATGGGCTCCAGGAGTCTAGGTTAGAATAGGCCCGGGAGACTGGGTTAGAAATGGGCTCCGGGAGTCTAGGTTTAGAATGGGCCCGGGAGCCTGGGTTAGAATGGGCTCCGGAGTCTGGGTTAGAATGGGCTCGGGAGTCTGGGTTAGAATAGACTCCGGGGAGTCTGGGTTAGAATAGACTCCGGAGTCTGGGTTAGAATAGGCTCTGGGAGTCTGCTAGATTAGGCTCGGGGAGTCTGGGTTAGAATAGGCTCGGAGTCTGGGTTAGAATGGGCTCGGGAGGAGTTAGAGTAGGCTCGGGAGTCTGGGTTAGAATGGGCTCGGGAGACTGGGTTAGAATGGGCTCCGGGAGTCTGGGTTAGAATGGGCTCCGGGAGACTGGGTTAGAATGGGCTCCGGGAGACTGGGTTAGAATAGGCTCCGGGAGTCTAGGTTAAAATAGGCTCCGGGAGACTGGGTTAGAATAGGCTCCAGGAGACTGGGTTAGAATAGGCTCCAGGAGACTGGGTTAGAATAGGCTCCGGGAGTCTGGGTTAGAATAGGCTCCGGGAGACTGGGTTAGAATAGGCTCCGGGAGACTGTGTTAGAATGGGCTCCGGGAGTCTGGGTTAGAATGGGCTCCGGGAGTCTAGGTTAGAAATGGCTCCGGGAGTCTAGGTTAGAATGGGCTCCAGGGGTCTGGGTTAGGATAGGCTCCGGGAGTCTGGGTTAGAATGGGCCCCGGGAGTCTGGGTTAGAATAGGCTCTGGGAGTCTGGGTTAGAATAGGCTCGGGGAGTCTGGGTTAGAATGGGCTCCGGGAGTCTGGGTTAGAATGGGCTCCGGGAGTCTGGGTTAGAATAGGCCCCGGAGTCTGGGTTAGATTAGGCTCCGGGAGTCTGGGTTAGAATAGACCTCCAGTAACTTAGTCCAGTCATACAGGTTGAAATGGATCTGGTGGTCAGGCTTGTTGACTGGGCTGATAATGTGTAGTTGCTTCCTGATGGTGTGGATAGGTTTTGACAATATCACTGACTTGTGTAGAGGCTGCTGTACTATGTCTAGGATATTCCAATAGATAAAAACCTACAGCTGATGGTTTATCTCCCCTTGTCTACTGCAGGTAGTGCTGTGTTAAACAACAGACAAAAGTTCTACAGCTGATGGTTTATCTCCCCTTGTATACTGCAGGTAGTTCTGTGTTAAACAATATACAACATTCTACAGCTGATGGTTTATCTCCCCTTGTATACTGCAGGTACTCCAAGGAGGCCAGGCTATGAGCATACTCAGTGAACTGTCACCAGGGGGAGCTCTCATGAAGGGAACCAGTCAACAACAGTTACACCGTAAGTACACGTCACCTGGATACAAGCACAGACTACAGCAGGGAGAGCATGAGTTTGTGGATCCATTCCACTGGAGAAGGCATGCCACACTGTTAACATTATATGGCTTTACCAAGTATTATTTGCCTTGTTAATGGCACAGGCCCCCACTGCGGGTCAGAAAATCGATAAACTAAGCCCCGGTTTACTATCCAGCCCCCCTACTATATAACATGTTACTATCCAGCCCCCCTACTATATAACATGTTACTATCCAGCCCCCCTACTATATAATATGTTACTATCCAGCCCCTACTATATAATATGTTACTATCCAGACCCCCTACTATATAATATGTTACTATCCAGCCCCTACTATATAACATGTTACTATCCAGCCCCCTACTATATAATATGTTACTATCCAGCCCCCTACTATATAATATGTTACTATCCAGACCCCTACTATATATAATATGTTACTATCCAGCCCCCTACTATATAACATGTTACTATCCAGCCCCCTACTATATAACATGTTACTATCCAGCCCCCTACTATATAACATGTTACTATCCAGCCCCCTACTATATAACATGTTACTATCCAGCCCCCTACTATATAACATGTTACTATCCAGCCCCTACTATATAACATGTTACTATCCAGCCCCCTACTATATAACATGTTACTATCCAGCCCCTACTATATATGTTACTATCCAGCCCCCTACTATATAATATGTTACTATCCAGCCCACCTACTATATAACATGTTACTATCCAGCCCCCTACTATATAATATGTTACTATCCAGCCCCCTACTATATAACATGTTACTATCCAGCCCCCTACTATATAACATGTTACTATCCAGCCCCCTACTATATAACATGTTACTATCCAGCCCCCTACTATATAACATGTTACTATCCAGCCCACCTACTATATAACATGTTACTATCCAGCCCCTACTATATAACATGTTACTATCCAGCCCCTACTATATAATATGTTACTATCCAGCCCCCTACTATATAATATGTTACTATCCAGCCCCCTACTATATAACATGTTACTATCCAGCCCCCTACTATATAACATGTTACTATCCAGCCCACCTACTATATAACATGTTACTATCCAGCCCACCTACTATATAACATGTTACTATCCAGCCCCCTACTATATAACATGTTACTATCCAGCCCACCTACTATATAACATGTTACTATCCAGCCCACCTACTATATAACATGTTACTATCCAGCCCACCTACTATATAACATGTTACTATCCAGCCCCCCTACTATATAATATGTGAAGGTTCATCATAGAAATTCAGCAACATCATCGAAATCCGGACAATTGCAATGTTATTAAAAAAATGATATGATTATCACTTGTCTGTGTTTAAATAAATAATATGACTATCACTTGTCAGTGGTTAAGCAATTGTTATGATAATCACTCATCAGTGGTTAAGCAATTGTTATGATAATCACGTGCTGTAAACACTGGGATACACTGTTGTAGAGATGATTCCCCGCGATGTCCAGGAGGAAATCAAACAACAATACAGCGCTCTTTGTGAACTCCTGCGACACTTCTGGACATGTTTCCCTCCATCGTCAAAGTTTGTCGAGGAGAAGGTGAGTCAGATTGGCTGCTGCTGCCAACATTTTGCACTTTTCTATAGATTAAGTTTCATAATGTTACCGCTACGCAAAACTAGATAACTATCAGTTCTCACATTTTGGGCAATGGTGCTCTTGGGCTTGGGCCAGTTTTGTGTGTGTGTGTGGGGGGGGTGTCAGCAAATTCCATTGTCAGTTTGCTAATATATTTCGCTTACATTAAATCTGGAAAGTTTTGTGCCATGAAATTACTGCATGTGCCTGGCTTGAGCGTCAGTTGCTCATTGGTGACACCCTGTTCAAATTATGACATGATGGAGTGGTAACAAAGTCTCAGTAGGCAATTTGATAAGAAGTGGCTAGTGAACTATCTTGGTCCAACTGTTCACACTGAGTGAAAATGTTTGATTAAGGAAACGCAGAATGTGAGGGATTACTTAATTAAATCTTGTACTGGCAAACTAACCATGTGTTTTTTCAACACAAACAAATTCAAGTTCTTACACTGTTTGTTGATCTGTTAACCTTTCTGTGACATGACTTTATGACGCTCATAGTTTTCACAGTACTTTCCTGCTTCCAAACGTTCAAGATTTACAGTAAACTTCCGTAACAGTTTACTCTAACAGCCTGTGATGTAACTGTATTGTTGACTAGTGTGGTATGGTGTGGTGTGTGGTGCGATGCGGTGCCTGCATAGTTCCTGGTTACTAGTCATACATCATACATGTGACATTGTGTTTTCAGATAGGAAAAATGAGGACAACTTTAGAAAAGTTCCAGCTTGCAAAGCTTAACCCTCTGAAGGCCAAACTGGCATCGTACCATTACTCTGTGGATGTAAGTGACAACTGGGTGATATCAGTCAGTACAGCAGCTATATTACAGAAATACTCTTACTTTCTTTGATAGTACCCCAACTAATGCTTGTTTCTGTGAAGCTAACCAAATTAAAGTAGGTTTATGTAAATCTACCAAACTAATATGAGTTTCTGTGAATCTGCCCGAACTACTTTTAGTATCTTTTAATAATCCCCAATCAACTTTCTGTGAATCTACCATTAAGTTTCTGTGAATATACCAGACCACTGTTAGTTTCTGTGAATCTGACTACTTTTGCACGTTGGCTGTCTGTAATGACCTTGACCTGTTTGTCTCCGCAGCTGTGCGGGCACATGGAGGAGATGCTCCAGGCGGCCTACAACAAGTTTGATGCTTGGCAGGCTAAGAAGCTCAGTCGCAGATGAGAGGGACTTCTACCGTGTTTACGGTTTCATTTGGTGCTAAAGTCAGACAGTGCAAACTGCATGTGTAAAGACCAGTCCATGGTCCGAACAGAATGGACAGTCAATTATATGCATTGACAGCTCTCAGTGCTTTAATACACCACTGTGTGCACTGGGTTGTGAACATGCTCCTCTTGTATGGGTAATATTGAGTAGTGTGAAAGAGATGAAACTCGGTAGATATGAGCATGATTGGGAAGATACCAGTATTTATCTGGGACTGTCAGACTGATGATGCACAGAATATGTGAGAACATTTGCTGTGATGACCAGGTGCCTTGGATAAGTCCGTGGTATTTTCAAGGCTTGTGTTGCTGGAGGAAGAGCTGTGAGGAGCTGACTGGTTATGTTTAACAGTCAAGTTTCCCTGATTTCATGGGATGAAATTGTCGCCATTAACATGACACTGCAAGTAGGGGAAAGGAGGAAAAGGTTGAGAAACTGGATTCCATGGTTACCAGGTGGAGATGAAAAAATTTGCAGGGAGACATGGCAGATATGACATCTTGCGTGTGCTGGAATGGGTTCCGGAGGCATCACATCAGGAGGGGGAGACTGGCTGCTGAGAGAGAACCATGGGGTTGGTGGAAGTCACGCTGAATCCAGTATTGCCAGTTCCTTCACAAGTGTAACACAAAATGACTTTGTAAAGGACCGTCTCAAATGTATGGGCCACGCAAGTTGAGGTGTACAAGGGCTTTATAGTGAACACAAGATAGCAAAGTTGATTGAATATCATAGCCTGATGACTGTGTGTAACTCACTGTCACAGTATATTGCCTACTGCTGGTACTGTAGAAGAATGGTTGGAATGTTGGTCACTTCAACATCTTCAAAAAATGATAAAAGGTCCTAGACCACTTTGTGTGAGTTTATCAAACCAGTTTCAACTAAAGTTTAGAATATATATATAAAAGTAAGGTATTTCTTGCTGAAAACTACCCAGCAATAAGTGATCTGATGTCACATTGCTTTGTTGGGAACAATACAGTATACTGGTAGTCGCAGTGACCTCACCAATTGACAACGTGATGTCATATGAGCAAAAGGCTGATGTCAGGGTCTCAGAGTGTCTTGTACTAAACTGACAACAAGCAGTATGCAATGTTATATAGAATTACCAACTTGGTATTCACTGTCCCCTGTGAATGAATGTGGTGAGCAGTCAAGGAGTCTGTTCACATTAGACATTTGTTGTGCAGTTCCTTGTGACATGAGACTGATTGATTAATAGTGTGCTGATATTTACAACGTGCACAGATGGTAGATATTCCAGATTGCCTGTTGTATATCCTTTCTAGCTACAAGTATATTTGTACGTTTACACTGTATGCCAGAAGTCTTTGTGTTACAATGTTTGTGAGTGTCTATAAGTGATGGTTTGCGAATGTGATATTTCTTCATACATACCACAACACACTAGACATTGTAGAAGGTTCATAGTGCTGTAGAGACATGACTCGTCAATACTGAACACTGCAGAGGTTGGGAAAACTCTGTTAGTTATAGACTTATATACCTGTTTGGGTTTGTGACCCCCAAAAGCAACATCTGGTAACGCCATTGCATTTTCAGGTCCACAGAAACAGGCATTGGCCTGATATTTGTCGGTACTTGTTTGATTTTATAACAGACAATAACTATGTCAAACAAAATATACTCTTTCTTTAAAATTGTGTTGTTGGAAAATACTGGCACTTTGATTGAGAAGGTAAAAGTCAGAGTTGCTTCCCTTGTTATCCAAATGACCTTAACTGAAAGATGTAAGGTGTTTTATGATCATCTATACCTTCTTATTGAAGATTAATTAAATGCCTATATGTCTAGGTTATACGCAGATGAAACATTAAGAATAGCAGTTATTTCATACATGTTAAGGTGAGGAAGTTGCCATCCCCATAGTCTTTTTGTACATGACATTAAATGTATCACTGTCACCATCATCTGTGGTTATTGCCTTGACAGTCATCTCATCTCTACCATATGCCAACATAGAATTACATTGTGATTGCCAGCAGCGTTGCTTCCATCAGAAGGAGGTTTGGAGAAAAGCATGTTGGAGTAATTTATTTTCCATTTTAGGCAACTCAAATGCCAAGATAAATTAACAGACATGGAAGTCAGTATATGTTTCTGTTGAATAACAACTGCCGCTTTCAGGCATATTGTAATGGCAGAGACTTTGCCTTTGGTGATAATATTAATTATGTGTGTCATTTTACAAAAGTTATCTGGATTGACACAATTACTGATTTGGTTATGAGGCCATGGCAGAGAATCAGTGGTCAGGGTATGAATGGGAATTCACTGACCACAATGGTGGCAAGGTATGGCAGATAGTTTTCACCACCAAGGAAGACCTGCTTTTAGGTGTCATCTGGCGTATTGTGTTGAGAGGTTAACACCACTGGTACCAGGGTCTGTACTGGATCAGATGTGGTCACTTGCTGGAAGGGTAATAGTGTGTCATAGTAACCAGCAGAAAATATACACAATTTCCATTTTTGATAATTTATTATTCATTTGCTGAATTCTATGCATATCTTGCATTTATCTTCCATGAGAAATGTTTTGGAGGATATTAGTGTTTATAATATATGACACCTCAATGTTAATGTTAACATGGATGCAGTGCTCCATCCTGTCTGAGATTACCCATGTAGGTTGGGTATCTCTAACCTCACTTGTAGCCTTGGGCTCCATCTTTTCCATTGTCTTTTTCATAATCTGCCACTCACATTCAATCCGATTGATACCTGTTCTCATATCATGGTGCTGACAAATAGTTCAAAGCTTCTGATAAACACATCAATTTTCTTTTCATATTTTAGACCAGTGTTAAAACAGTTAAGTTCTGTGTTTGGCTGACCTTTGCTGACATGGTATACTCAACATTCACTCTTGTCAGTTGTGTGTAAACCTACATTAAACCTACCTACTGCTAATACTGCCTAGGACTAGGAGAAACACTTAAGTTTGAATCAAGGTCATGTCTTGGTTTCCTGATGTATGTCATTATGGTTACTCAATGAGTATTTTGTTGATGACTGTATTTAGCATGTTCAGTGATGCTGGGCATCTTTACTAAATATACTGTTATACATGACAGGAGTTGCTTTACACCTTGGTAGTGTACCACAAAGAAAATAACATTGATGTAAGAATGACAGGCCATTGTTGGTGGAACAATCACATCATTCTCATAAGAAAGGTTCACATATGGTAGAAACTTCAGGTAGAACTAGAAACTTCAGGTAGAACTAGAAACTTCAGGTAGCCTAGTGGTTAGAAACTAATAGTCAGTCAGATTGTTTTTATTTCTCCTGGGGAACAATGTGCAGTGGCTTTCCTCTGGAGATGGATGAGAATGTTAAATATCCTGCACCCACTTGGTGATAGCAACAAGATGGAGCCCTGGTCCAAAGGGACAAGATGGAGCAGTGGTCCAAAGGGCCATGGTCAGTAGATCTGTTTGGTTCCAGATTTACCAGGTTTGGTGGTACTTCCTCACCTGATTAATGTTTTCTCTCACAATAAGCTGACACAATAAGTTAACCACTGTTCCTCTCTGCTGGCAATGTCTACAGCAATGCACAGACAAGAATCTGTTGATAGTATATCATGTCCATGTTGTTTGTTGAAACTTTGTTTACATTATCATCAATCATGACATTAAAATATCCTATACAGTGAACAATAGTATTTTCTCAGTGTATGCCTGCGAGAGACAGGGCAGGGCGGAAGATAGACTGATCGATCAATCGATTGATTGATTGCAGCAGAAGGCCTCTTCTATGTCAACTATCCAGAAGTAGTTGAGATACTGCTAATATCTCTAACCTTAACAGTGATGTAATTAGTGACGTCATTAGTTCGGACAAGAACTACCGGGGATATTTTTAAATAACGTCATCTGAGGGGCATCCACCATACTTACTGTCCCATTGTTTAGTCCACATGTCCGTCACGATCGAGGACGCAGAGACTGATACCTGGCAGCCAGACGACTTGATTAGATTGTTGGCGAGAAGCATTGGATCAATCCCCCTTTAAAGCTTGATCGCTAGAACAATTAAAGGACGAATGGACCGGACATCATGCCACGACTCACGACTGTAGTGCCACGTGTAGTGCCACCCCATGACGATCCGTGTTAGAATTGACATATGTCATTGTATCACAATTGCGTAGATTGATGCTCACTGGATTGTCTGGTCCAGACTCGATTATTTACAGACCGCCGCCATATAGCTGGAATATTGCTGAGTGCGGCGTAAAACTAAACTCACTCACTCATTCACCCCTTACGAATCGTCATCTTGCCAACAGACCTCAATGGTGAACACAAAGTCGAAACCGGTGTCGTCGTGACTGGTCACTCGTCATGTTTTCATATGAGTCCCGACTGACTTTGCACTTCCTTGATGATCGCGGTCGTGAATGAAGCCTGTCTGAGACCTGATGAGGGATGTAGCGGTGGATCGGTTGTGGTGTCGGGGTAGCATCACTGCCTGACCAAACCCCACTACATCCTGTGCAAAGAAGGGTCAGTGGTCACTACTATAGACAATATACTGACTGCATGACAACATGGTGATGTCCCAAACCGTGATATTGCTGGAATATTGCAAACAACGGCGTAAAACTAATTACAACACGAATAAGCTTAATTTTAGACACTTTAAAGGAAAGCTTCATCATCGTATGCTTTCTTATCTGTTTTAGATAAACAGTGGTTCAAAATTCTAAAATTATGTATTGACTCCATATAGGTAATGGTTGACTGTGTAGTTTTTGTAAACTGTGGACCAACTTTCTGGGGTCCGTGATGGTGTTGGTGGTATACGGAAAGACTTAAAACTGGATACGAAGATCAGAAGGCATTTCTTTCACTGTATCCAAGCAAAGCATCACTGGGAGTACAGAAGATACTTAACAATGTAGTTACTGCTCACTTTTGCTACTAGCGTAAATATACAGATGCAGTACAATAGAAACCCTTCCGTTTGTACACATTCAGAAAGAAATCGTCAGGCTCTATAATATAGCACAAAGTGTATTTGTCTCTTTGCAAACCTAACTATTTCTTCTCGTCCTGCCAGTTGGGCCGTTCCACAAAGCGATCTTGGTGCTTATGTTATAGTAAGCCTTTGTTAAAGTATACTGAATCTAAAATAGTTCGCAATTGCATTGTTTTCTGTTTCAGAATAAAAACATATAAACGTTTTATGTTTAAAGAGAGTATTGATCAGTTTAATAAAGGTTTAAGTCAAATCGTGGTCATGAATGAAAATCGCGGGTTTCTTTTGAAATCCATCAGTAGTAGGCTAGCTACTAAAAGCGCTTTTATTAAAAATGCAGCAGTAATCTTTCTAACTCACATGGGCTGAATTCCAAGCCCATGAGAAAATAGAGGTCATGACCCGATGGGGAGACTTGGTGCTGGGCAAAGTGTTGCAAATGTCGTACAGCTTTTTAAGGTCCACAACAGCACAATTGCTCGCATTCGACAAAGAGTGAAGCCAACTGAACAGGTTTGAGACCGACCACGATCGGGGAGACCAAGGGAGATGATAGAATCTTGGTGACGTCATGACGCAGTCGCAGGTTCGAGAGTGCATCTCGTCTGGCGAACGCTCTCCCGCAAGCAACTGGGACGAGAATTCAGTCTGAGACTGTGCGTAACTGTCTCAATGCAGCGTGGTCCAGTCGTCACTGTCATATACAGGGACGGTTGAGATGCATCATGAGTACACACTGAGATGATTACAGAATTCAGATTGGGCGTCCAGTTTGCAGATGGTCGAGCGTGTGCAGTAGCACATTATGGCGCTTACAACGGCTCGGAACATGACGGGCTGGGGAATGCCCTGGTCTCAGTGGGGACTCTTGGTACAGACGAAACCTGATTTTCATTCAAGAAAACCTGACTGCCCAGCTTTACGGCAACGAACTGATCACACCAGTCAGTGTCTCCTTTATCGTGTCCAGCAAGATAGCGTAAGACCCGATACGGCTAGGCTCTTTTCTCCTAAGACACAATATTCAGGTGTCACCCTAGCCAGCCAAGTCTCCTGACCAATCGCCATACATGAGCGTGTGAGAAGAAAACCGACGTTCACAATATCCGTGACCTTGAACTCTCTGACTCAGACATGGAACACCGTAACCGTTGCAGAGATCGGTCGCCTCCCCCGGAGCATGAGACGACGCTGCACAACAGTGGTGAGGCTGCAGGAGGTGACATGTCACTGAAGCGAGGTCAACGTTTTCCAGCTTTACAGTGAGGTTAACAGTATCCTTTGAGAAAATCAACAAAAATTAAAAGCTGTCACATTGAGAAATTATCAATGAATACAATCCCACATACATCTTGTGTTTTGATTTTAAACTGTATTCACCATCAGTCTATTTACTGAATTGCTTAACCCTTTGATTTCAGTATACGTTTGTTATGATCACATCAGCGCTAAGGTCCTTTTAGTCAATTTTGCATATACTTCACAACCAGTAAGTATTTTATTCCTTTAAATCTTCACTTAGTCATGTTATGATAGATGTATCATTACCAGTTGTAATTTGTCTTTATCACGCAGTGTCCTTATGATGATCCATCAGAGAGTAAATGTAAAATATTGATACATCATCATCATCATCATCATCATCATCATCATCATCACCTGCCTGCACCACTGACAGTAATGGAGAATACAAATATACCCTACCATCACTCTTCCTCCTCCCTCCCCTACACATCTATAGCACAAAGACACAACAATAATATACCCCAAACTCTGTGTTTAGCGCTGGCCATTGGGTTTTAACGAGACACACTGTCAAAGGCGATAATGGAAGGTGCCACATATGCACGCATCGTAATAAATGTCTACTACGGGATCACAACAAATGATATTGCACCTTGAGTGGTTTTGGTGAATAAATGAACTGAACTGAAACACCCATCTCTTTCTCACACTCTCTCTCACACACACACACACACACACACACACACACACACACACACACATCCCACGCGTCCTACCGACTGATCCACGTGTTGGTATTGATCATGTGACAAGACTTCCTTACATTTATTTATAACTGAATTTGGAGACTAACGTCTGCATTAAGGACTCCGACACAAGATGCCATGAACAAGGCTAGTGTTGTTGACAGGGAAATGCGCATACAGATATCCTGTACGTCGACAGTCGGCGTGAACCAGCGTAATAGGTGTGCGCTAAACCCCCAAACAGTACCTCACATTCAGTGCGTGGCTGGAGTTGGTGGGAAGCTTCAGAATGCCTGACACCAGACTTCTGTTTTCAAGTGAGTATTACAGAATGCTGCGACAGTACAGACTAGAATCAGCCTAAAGTAGTCGTCCCGCCTCGATAACCCATTGTATCATAGATATTTTCTGCAATATGTCATATAAATAATTAATCTGGATAATTGCAGTTCTGTGCTGCATGAAAAACTGCTCCAAATTTCAGTTTAGGCCCAGACGCGGTCAATGAGTCATGTATGGGATAATATTGTTTTATGGTCTCCGTGTGATACATATTCACCTTGTTGGACCCAGGTTACCACAGTCTTTGACAGAATACAGCTGTAAATCCTCACGATTCAGCCGAGTTACTTCCAGGAATAAATTGTTGTCAGTGTGTAAATCCTCGTTTAAACTAATTTGTATATAAATAATTGCAGTTGGTTTTTCTGGGTCATTCGTTTTGGTTTTGTCACTTACCATACTCCTGATGTTCACTCCGTCAATGGGCCTGCCTGTTACATCTTGCCGCCAATATGTTTTGAAATCATCTACCTGGGTGAGTACGACATATGTAACTTGTACCAGCCCTGAATGAAGAGCTCTCCACAAGTCGTATGGGCAGAGGCGAGTGCTCATGAAGACCCGTAAGTCGATAGTTTGAAACAGTTGAGTCCCGAACAGTTTTGTTGGCTTCTGTGGCGCCCGGAGAAATAAACTATGGTGAACTTGCTGATTGGCACGTTACGAGAGTTATGTCTCTTAGCAATGATCAGGATGCGCTTCTAGCTGGTGTTACACAACCAGGTTACTTTGTTTTAAGTCTTGCCCCAATATATTCAACAAAACAACAAGATATAGACTCCAGACTATCATGCTGAGACTGTAGGTAGAATATGTTATGCCACACTTGGAGTAGAATTCCTACGACAAGTATGGGGTTTGGCCGCCCTAGCGCTAGGGTCGCTGTGTGAACCGGGTTCATGCTCTGACTATACCCGTACTTCCTGCTTCAGTAGCCCTGGCTGTTCTGTCCTCACATCACGCCTTGGGGTGCCCCGCGTTTACATCGTGCCAAACTCGGATGGCGGCTGCTCTAGGTGCACCCGGCACTGACACAGTCAGCCTCTGTCGGTAGGTAGACATCTTGTCCACTGTCAGAAGTCTTTACTTCACGCAAAGTTAAGTTTTTCCGGGCGTCTGTTCTGGCATACACACTCATTATCATTGGCTCTGTAGGTCTGCCCTGAAAAAAATAGTTTAAACTCGTTTTGCAAATTCAGCTTCATCTTCGAACGTTTATGCCTGCATAGATACTGAATCTTGGAACCTGTATGACTGCATGTTTTGTATCCTCTATGCCTTTATGAGCACCCTTTTATATACCCTCTATTCCTGCATAGGTACTGTCCCATATACTGTCTATGATTGCATGTTGTCCCTATGCCAGTACCTGTACCCGATACCCCTCTATAACGACATGGAAGCCAGTTACACGTGATATCCTCTGTATATACATGCTCGATAGCATGCCTGCCGATATGTGCGGCTACCTGTTATGCATTAGCTGCATGTAGTAGAGATAAATAACATACCAATAGACTGACCTCCTATATAAACTGCTGATAAAGAAGTATACATCGACTTGGATTGCCTTCTTTTGAAATGTATTTTTAAAGTTCAGCAAATGTGGATCACTAAGCCCAAAGACAATTTCAAAAGTAAACAAAAGTAACAAAAACGTTATCACGTCTCCCTTTTTTACACTAAACCAAGGTGTTGAAAGTCAGAAAACAACGCTTCCATAGACCCAAAGTGATAAATAACGCTTCCATAGCACCAAAGTGATGGAACATCCAGATAAGTCTGGATACCGCCTCTCACTGATGACGTCGGCCTTCTGATGACGTCATAGGGCATGCTGGTCAACATCCAATAACGTCTGTTCCAACTGCTGCACCTTATTTGGACATACATGATCCCATAGAGGTCGGGAGATTGTCATGGTCATTGCAACCAGGTTACGTTTTGAGTGTTGAGAAAGTCCTGGGCTTAGACTCTCGAAGCACTCTTAGCGCTAAGATATTCGTAAGTAATGTTAATGTATGGCACTTACGACTATCTTAGCTCTAAGAGAGCTTCGAAAATCTATGCCCTGGATTATTCCATTGTTTTGGTGGAACAGTATCCGTTGTGACTGTATTCAGAGAAGGGAAAGGACAATTGGCTGGAGAATGATATTCATGAAACTGTCTCCTTTTCACCATAAATCCCACTCGAGGTAACAGCCACGGAAAGGATGAACCTCTTGGATGTACCCTTGAGACAACCGTTCACCCCTGCGGCGATATACCTCCATACAACCAACAAGATAGAACAGGTTGATCATGCTCTCGTCGCTGAGTCCCCCTGTCCATAACACTGCTGTCTACGTCACATAGTTAGAGACCACTGACGTCTTTTTCGCCAATGTTGGCGGTTAAAGACCACCAAGCATCTGATTATCTTATCTCTGTATGTCTGGTGTGGTGTCCCCAAGTCTGTTGCTGTTCCCTCGTGAAGTGATCACACGTGGTCTGTGGTTCAAATGGCCTGTTCCAGTCTGGTGGAGTCGCTGAATGCTACAGAAGTCTGGGAATGGTCAGTCCGCTGCATCGGAACGTTCTTGGAATTGATCTGCATATCCCTATCAGCGCCATTCACAGGTGCTAAGATACCCTATCACATGCTTTATCAAACCTCTTTTCATATTTATTTTCAAGTAAAAAACTATTTTGAACCCAAGCTTTCAGAATTTCCCAAATGGTAGTTTAACAGTCAGAAAATGTTGTTTTTGGTTCGTCAACCTGTTTTTGTCTTAATTCAGTTTCCTTTTGCCAGCATATAAATCTAATGTGCAGGTTCTTTTAATAGGCGGTATATATTGTAGAGCTCTCAGAGACTACCTTGAGTGTGCCCGGGGCGCCAGTGCTTCTTGTGGGGTTTCAGAGAGAGGATACGTCGTGGAGGGGTTCAACATCGTCAACGTGAGATACTCGACGCTCTGCACAGCTTTCCGTACCGGTAGGTCTAACTACTAGTCACTAACTACCGTTCCGTGCAATATAACATTAACGATGCATCGGGGGCGATCGGATTGAACTCAAACACCTGAAAAAGATGCAACTGCTTGTATTTCAAATCAAGTTACCTATGAAGAAACATTACAAGACGATACAATGTATGCCCATAAATAATCTACTTGATATTTGAAAACGAATATTTCAATAGCAAGGGGGTATTTAGGTTTAGGTGTTTTAGTGGCAGATGGGTGGGTGATCGTTATATTTATGTTGGCACTGACACAAATGATTGCCTATATCCACCACACATATACACATTTCTTGAATGGATGGTTGAATGCTCGGGTTAACAGTTTCAAAATATCTTCACATGTTCAGAACACGTGAGCATGGCTATACTAAATGGATCATGAATGCAAAATCGTTCCATGTCTCTGGTTCTCTGGGTACTCAGGGGCTATAGGCCTGGCGCCAGGCCATCTACCACATACACGACCAACTACACAGTTACCTTAGGAATTGGCCTCGTCATCTTGGCAGACATGCAACATAAGTTATATATGGGATTACACTTTCTCTATTGACCTTGCGGTTGATGTGTACAGTAGACATTTTGACGCTGTATCAGCTGGTGGAACCATGGACCAATACTGTCATTGCCAACTGAGTCACACCAGCCATACTCACCATTTCAGCAAGTGCCTCAGCACCGGTAGACTCAACCACGGCGAACACTGTTGCTCCTTCCTCTGCAACGTCCACAGTGTCATCAGCGACACTGACATCGGTTGAGGGCGAGAAGACTACCCCTGAGGCGGACCGGTTACCCCAGAACCGTTCGGCTACCTTACTTCCCGTGCCAAGTTATCTACCGGAAGTGACGTCAGATTACACCTCTCCAAAAGACCAAGTTACAACGTCTGTGACTTCTGCAACCACTGAACAGATGTCCATAGCAACCAAACGAGATGGTTCTGCATGTATCTACCTTCCTGGTATTGCCAAACAGTCATCCGAGCAATGTAAGTAGACGTATTACTGAATATTACCTTGAACATTTGAACACACCCCACTTAAACCCATTGAAACGCTTCTGAAAATTACAGAAAATATCTGTTCAGATAAATATGCCTCTGAAAAAGAGGGGTAGTGTGTGGTATGAAAGGTCCACTCAGAACACATATTTCAATACTTAATGTGTGTCAGTCAGTATGTTCGGTGAGTCAGTATGAATCTATATTTAACCAAGTGCGTCACCCAGACACTTGTGTTTAACATGCAGTAAGCTCATCGTGCACATGACATCCTCGTACACTTAACCCGGAGATACGTAATACTCTGAAAGGTGCCTTATTAGATATACTACTGGATATATAGACGTCTGATATATACACACATCTCGTTACATAAAACCCCACCCCGAAAACACACACACACACACACACACACACGAACACACACACGAACACACACACACAAACCACCACCACTATCAAATACATATATAGACACATCCCCGATATATACCCACATCGTTATATTTATACCCAAACATCCCGATGTATACACCAATCATGATGTATTCACACATACACACATAACGATGTAGAGACACGTGCATACTAACTCACTCACTCTACGCACATTTACCCCGGGTAGGAAGTCAAGCAGAACGAATCCAATTCTGCATCTCTGTATACATGTCCCTCTTCATGTGAACACCAAACAGATTTAGAAGTCAATTGTGCTCGAATTAAGTGGGTTCCATTTAATCCTTATCGTGTTTTCTTACTTTCTTATTCCGTGCCTGGACTATACAAATTAATAAGCAACTAATGCCGTGAAGGAACTCGAAACCAGATTTCACATGGTAACATTCAGCTCTAGTTCACATAGGGTATGACTAAACCATATGGTGTGTTGTGAGCGGAACTGATCAGCCTCGCTGATTCCTGTATTTGACTTCCCTAGGAAGTAGAATAGCGAGGGAGGAACATCATGGTCACATCAGTCATCTGATACAGTCAGTGTGTAGTGGTCCAGATATCATCTCGTGTTATGGCAGTTTGGAAACATCTTATGGTTTTGTGTTTTAGTGAGTATTTGTTTCATTACCTTAGCGCCATTGATTGTTTCCTATCATAGCGCTATTGATTGTTTCTATATCATAGCGCCATTGATCGTTAAGTCGTGTTTCTTCACTCATTAGTGCTTTAGCATATGTCTTTGAGTCATACGCTCACTTGGTCTCGTTTGTTTGGGAAACTTTGACATCACTGAGTTTTTCATGTTTGTGTTCAGTTACATTAACAGAGGTAGTTTTGCCGTTGTCCTGTCCAGCCTGTACGGCGGGGTATGGTTTGACTGTTACCGATGTTTCCGTTGTTGCTGGACGAAATAAGACGAGCTTGGATTTTCAAGAGACCCTGATTGACGACTCGGATGGCCTTGTTTATTTTTTGCTATATTCATGTATAAATCCTTGTTTCTTAAAAGGTACCTGAAATTCGAATTACGACGGATTTTATTTGCCTAATACACTGAGCTGATAGCTCCCTTCTATATTGGTCAATATTTATAATATAGATAGGTTGTTGTCCGGACAATCCCTTCTATACCCAACACTTGGTCAATATTTAGCTAATATAGATAGGTTCTTGTCCGGACAATCCCTTCTATACCCAACAGTTGGTCAATATTTAGCTAATATAGATAGGTTGTTGTCCGGACAATCCCTTCTATACCCACACAGTTGGTCAATATTTAGCTAATATAGATATTGTTCTCCCTTCTATACCCAACAGTCCGATAGACAATCCCTTCTATACCCAACACTTGGTCAATATTTATAGATAGGTTGTTGTCTGTTGGTCAATATTTAGATAGATAGGTTGTTGTCCGGAAAATCCTTCTATACCCAACAGACAATTGTTGTCCGGACAATCCCTCTATACCCAACAGTTGGTCAATATTTAGCTAATATAGATAGGTTGTTGTCCGGAATCAATACCCAACAGTTGGTCTATACCCAACATAGATAGGTTGGTCCGACATATTTTAGCTAATATAGATAGGTTGTTGTCCGGACAATCCCTTCTATACCCAACAGTTGGTCAATATTTAGCTAATATAGATAGGTTGTTGTCCGGACAATCCCTTCTATACCCAACACTTGGTCAATATTTAGCTAATATAGATAGGTTGTTGTCCGGACAATCCCTTCTATACCCAACAGTTGGTCAATATTTAGTTAATATAGATAGGTTGTTGTCCGGACAATCCCTTCTATACCCAACAGTTGGTCAATATTTAGCTAATATAGATAGGTTGTTGTCCGGACAATCCCTTCTATACCCAACAGTTGGTCAATATGTAGCTGAGAAGATGTAGGTTCGCGATGTTAATCTTTCTATTTAAAAAATATTGCACATGTAATTAGAACAAATGCGGTGCGTACATGATAACTAACATAGTCGGAAACAGTGGAAATGCCGAGGTGGAAAATATACAGAGAGGTTTGAGGTTTCATATACAACATGAATCATGTGCTCTTCCCCTAACAAGGAGGAAACAAATTGTGAAAATAAAGTTTGCAGATTATTTTGATTTATGGGAATAGCATGAAAACCGACTGTTGCCCTTTTTGTTTCGGTGTCATGTGTACATAAGTTGTGTTATCGCCCATGTTGTTTTCAGTGTGTACACTACGGCAGATTATGTCCCAGTTCAACAGCGGTTGCACGCAGTTAGATGACTGTGGCCGGAAGGTTTCCAGTAGTCTGAGCAGCCCTGACGACTTTTTAATCTGCGGGTAAAGTTTTATATTCAACCTGCTAGACCGTCCGGGTTTTGTTATGAATTTCTCATCTCCCGAATGTTAATCGCAACGTGAAATAGAACAGTTTTCGTATCTCCAATAATGGAATATGACTACGATTGCACACCCATATATTACCCATGTCACCCTAATTTTTATCGAGAAATGTTTATCAGCAAATCGTTTCCGAAGTAAAGAAACTCGGTCTGTCTCATAAAGACTGCTAACAAGTAATTTACACTGTAAAATGAAAAACGTTACGCAGTTAGTAAATTATTTAAAAAGAAATATTTCCTTCTATATATATATGGTCCTCCTGCACCCTTGTTGGTTAGGACTGGAGATGAAAAACACATACGAAATACTTTGACGACCTTACTTTCATGGATAAAACGGTTCAGTAAATAAGTGAACTGTTAAATACTTAGTAAGTGTACCCGTGAAGGTCCGGGTTAGAATGAACCTTCAGCAACCCATGCTTGTCGTAGGAGGCGACTGACGTGCACATCGGTCTGGTGTTCGTTAATCAGCTTGATGTACCTCCCCGGTGTGTTCATCATTGCCGCTCATACCGTACACTGTGCAGTGGAGGGTGCAGTGTTGTAATCAGTGTCTCAATGTTCGCTGTCGCTGACTCAACTGTGGTTGAGGCAGATGCTGAGATGGTTGGTGTGGCTGGCGCAGCTCATGGCATTGTTGGTTGGTGGTCCAGCCAGCTTTTCAGGCAATTATCAATTAAGGTATTAAACCATTTCCCGCTGTAGGTCACTGGTCAGTTACATAACCTGTGCCCAGAAAGCCAAAAGAGTGTGCGGAAACGTCGACAATTCCAATGTTCAGCAGATTGTGGCGACGATGTATACAGCAAAGAACTGCACAGGTATGTACACGTATCCAATATGTTGGTTGATGCCCCATGTGGTCTGCCCAAGACCACAAGCTATGTTCATTTGTTTGGGTTTTTATTTATTTTTAACGCTGATCTTACCAATATGCCAGCTATATGGCGGCGACTTTAAATATTCAGGTCTGGACCAGACAATCTAGTGACTGATATTATGAACATTGATCCACGCCGTCCAGGTACGATGACATGCAATCCCACCATGGAAACTCCATGGGCTTGTGTAACATGACATGGCAGAAACTCACGTATCGTATATATATGTTTCAGCTATTCTTAAGGAAATAACCACATCCGTCGAAATGTCTCCTGTTACGGCTCGTAATTCAGTATCAGGTAAACGCATTTGATTCGCATGTTTCCTTTATCTTCCATTGCTTACAGGTGTTTAAGATAATAGATACGTTGGTCGTCATCACATATTGCAATCTCGGGTCATATGTCTCCCTGGTGTTGCATGTTGGCAGTGCACTAGCCCCATGATGTATAGTTTACAAGCAGGTATACACGATGAATGCTCACCGTCATGACTTACCCAGCACTGTGTTTGGTGCATGTTGGCAGTGCACTAGCCCCATGATGTATAGTTGACAAGCAGGTATACACGATGAACGCTCACCGTCATGACTTACCCAGCACTGTGTTTGGTGTATGTTGCCTGAATGGAACTGTAGAACAATCCGCCATTGGTTCAACGTCGGTAGCATCCTTCCTGACCGTTCCTGAAAGCATGTGTTTGTTCCCAGCATGTTCCCAGCGTGTAACATCTCCCCCTGGTTGTGTTAATGTGGTGGACACCATGTAACAGAGCCCACGTGCCACTTTCTGTTATAGCACCGACACGCGAGACACTTGGGACTGGTGAAACCAGCACACAGCCTGAATCTTCATCTTCGGTAACAGATACCACCTCTTACATTCTAAACACTGGTCGTATTAAAGTTACCAATACTCCAAATGCTGATATTACATCCACTTACTCGAAGGACGCAAATACTCCCACAATGTCCTTTGAAAGGACCAGTCGCTTGGAAGTGACGAACACCCAGAATAAAGCTGTAACGACAACGCAGTTGTTGAAGGGTACAAGTACTCCCCCAGTGACCTCTGCACTCACCAGTCGTGTGAAAGACACGGATACCCTGCACACAGAACGCTCAACTGTACCCTCAGTGTCCTTGGCACTCACCAGTCGTGTGAAAGACATAGATGCTCTGAACTCAGAACGCTCAACTATACCCCCAGTGACCTCTGCACTCACCAGTCGTGTGAAAGACACGGATACCCTGCACACAGAACGCTCAACTGTACCCTCAGTGTCCTTGGCACTCACCAGTCGTGTGAAAGACATAGATGCCCTGAACACAGAACGCTCATCTGTACCCCCAGTGTCCTCAACAGACAGACACACCCATGTCTCATCCTCAACCGCACTCAACCGTGAAACCACCACTGACGTCAAGACAAACTCGCCCCCGGTTACGTCGTCATCCACGGGGTACTTGTCATCTTCTTCAGAGCCAGCAGTCGTCAGACGAGATAGATCGAGCACATTGCGGGTCACAGAAGTAGAACTGTCACGCACGGACGACATCACAGTACCCACATCAAGAGTTGATATGACCACCACAAAAACCAATACACCATTTAAAACTAACCTTTGGGCGAGTCTTGTCACAAACACGAGAACCTCTCGAGTTACCTCCCCTTCCATTCTTCCAGGACAGCCCACAGAAGCTACATCAGGTTTTCATCAGTCGAGGAAACCTTTCCCCAAGTCAACAGATCACACCCGGTATGGAACTAGATCCTCCACTGAAATGAAGAAGACGAGTCCGCCAATACCAGGCGAGTTCCCCACCATCCCCCCACCCGAAGAAGACGAGTCGACCAGGGACACATCTAACTCTCAAGGTGGAGAACACGTAACACATTCTAGGCTTGTTTCATGATTACAGTAGCAATCTTTACGCCTATATTAGGTCAGGCATTGTTTTATCTATAATGGCGTGGGGACAGATTCGTAATGTGTGTGTGTGTGTGTGTGTGTGTGTGTGCGTGCGTGCGTGCGTGCGCGCGCGCTTGTGTGTATGTTTGTGTGTGCATGTATGTGTCTGTTTCAATGTCCATAATGAGGAAATATGTATTTTGAAAGAAAATTCATTGACTTATTGACTTATTCAAATTTGTAGTCAATACACTTATAGCCTGAACATTGACACTAGATTTAAGACAGACTGATATTAGACTCATCGATTCAACTCTCACATTTTAAATTTGGATCTATTTTGATCTTACGATGGTCAAAGTATCTTCTGTGAGTATACAGTTTATATAATGTATAGGAAGCAGTTTCGCCCCCACCCGCCGTTCTTTTTCCAAGTCAACACACAGTTTAAGGTTTGGAATCCTCCTTATTGCCTTGAACGATCACGTGTCCACATGATGACTAAAGAGGTTAACCTCACATGGCAAGCTGACCTGGTAAGGATGTCATGTGTAGGATGACTCCACGCCTTGCTTCAAAATCATTATCGTGTTTTCGTTTGTCTTGACGTTAATCCTTCAAAAGGAATATATTTCTCGATCATACTTCAAACTGGACACGAGTGATATCTTGGTGCTAGATATACATGGCTAGAAAAAACAGGGAGTCTTTAATTAGTTTCAAATTTATAAAACACCTTTGGCATGTATCCAAATGTACAATTTGGCACTTTCTATTAACTTGAGAGTTGATTGCCTATTGGTCCATCGCCCCTAATCATTGGGTCAGCCTTTAACTCTTCTCACCCTCTGCTAATGTCTCACAACATACAACAGCGGTACATCTAAATTAAAGTGACAAATGATTGTGTTCACAAACAGTCTAAAATCTGTTTCAGGTGTGGGAGTCCCATCCTCATGCACAAACAGTAAGTAGAAGATATCTGCTAGAAACAAATGGTTGTCAATCTGTTCTTCCACTCAGATTGCATGGACATAATAATCCTTGAGTCCATATCTCTTGACATCGTTATGCTGTAGATATGTCTTGTGTTTCTTCTCTTGTGTCCCGAGTAGATCTGTACATTGTGCGTGAACACGCCGTTCCAATAAGGCTAACCAGGGACTAACCAGAGTTCCGTTGCCAAAAGCAATCTTAACGCTACGACTATCGCAAATTTAATACCTCAACATAGTTTTACAATAGTCGTAGTGTTGAAAACGATTTGTGCAACCTGACCTTGTGTGATGTTCCTATCTGAGGAGGCTGCAACCTCGGTAAGGTAGGGATGCTATTGGGTGCGGACAATGTTAGTCGAACTGGACTGGATTCTTAAGTTACCCCTAGAGTGAGTGAGTTCAGTTTTACGCCGCACTCAGCAATTGTTACCCCTAGAAGTAAATAATACTGTTATAGGTGGAGTTGTAAATTCAGGTTTATTATGTCCCCGGTAAGGGCCTAGTACTTGATGCTGCCCATAGTGAGTATTATAAATGTGAGTATTATAGAGAAGTGTATGTTTTTCTCCAGGGTCCCTGTCTGTATCTACCGTCTCCACTGTGTTGGTCAGCTGGATCTGCTGGACGCTGTACATCACAATTACCTGAAACCAGAGGGCCTGCACAGGTTGTTGAAGTCTCCGTGAGCAAACTTATGTTGTCGAGTGTGCTGAATGTGTGTACGAAAATGTCAACATGTCCGACCAAGGAGATCCTGCTACTGAAGACAGGTCTATGAAATATCATAGACGACCGACGTTTTAACTGGAATAGCCAGCTCTGTTTCAGATTGTCTTATGTTGTAATGTTAATATTGTGTTTATAACTTGTATTGTTTTTTAAGTTATGTGTAAAGAAGGAGGAGTGGGTGATAACTTATTAATATTTAAACAATTGGATTAAGTTAATATTTAACAGAATTTATCATCCAAGTTATTGTAACGCAATTTATGGAGTTTACTCCTTTAACAAGGCGTTGTCAACGTGTCAAAACACCCATATTTATTGTAGAAATCAAGTACATCAAAGGTCGACAGTTAAATGCAGAATACATAACCCAGTCAACATGCGAACCTGGAAGCTCCCAGACACATGAATCCGGAACATGTCATGTCCGTACACACCACATGGCCAAGCTTGGGGATGCTCTATGACTCACTTTATACCAAGTACAACGGTTGCCTGTTGATTTGTGTATGCTGTTGTCATTACGTTAACTCCAATTGTATTGGGGCAAGGCCAGATAGAGATTCCCTAACACATGCTCATGATTTTATCTGAATCGCACAAACTTCTCCAGAAATGTTTAGAGATTTTTGACACTGTGTTATTGTGCATAATATCGACTGCCATGACACAGTCCTGCGATCCAGTCCAGCAAGTGATCGCATAGACTTAATATGCCAGCGACCTGACACTCTCCGTGCTGGACACAGTAGGGCGACAGCACCTGTTGGAGGATGTAGACGGTGGTCGGAAGTGTTTGTGTCACTGCATGTCACTCGTGCTAGAAACCAGGACTTTCATTCTTAAGCCACTTCCTCTTTTGACCAAACATTATATACTGACATTAATACCTTAAGTCATGACCACTGACGTAAATACATGCGTCTCGCCGCTTTATCACATAGCTAGTATTGACAGGACTGAGTGAATAGGTTTTTATTCATTGTCCGCAAACACAGGGATGAAATACCTGAAAGCACTGCCCCTATCTTGATGAACAGATGGCTCTAAGCTACCTTCATCCACGCCTTTAGAGTACGATCATACACTAGGACAGCCAGGCGGAGATCGTCTCTCAGGGAGAACCAGTGCTGGCATCACATGCACTTACTACCAACAGATAACTTAACGTATTTTTATGTTTTGAATTTTGTGTAAATAATGTATTTAATGTGCCATGTACAAATGTGTCAAATATATTGTGCTGATATTTTCAGTTACTTCAAACATATGTGTTAAATGTTACCTTTTGACGAAGAAGAAATTGTATATTGTGTTGAAATTATGTATAAGTTTTCAGTTACTTCGTATTTGAATAAACATATTTGTTAAATACTTTCTGAAAGATTGAGAAGTTGAGTCTTTTTCTTACGTTGTACCGGCCATTTGCTGACTTGTGTCGGGCAAGACATCATACCGTCCACGTGCCGACATGTGTCGAGCTAGACGTCATACCGGCCATTTGCTGACTTGTGTCGGGCAGGACATCATGCCGTCCTCGTGCCGACATGTGTCGAGCTAGACGTCATACCGGCCATTTGCTGACTTGTGTCGGGCAGGACATCATACCGTCCACGTGCCGACATGTGTTGAGCTAGACGTCATACCGACCCAATGGTGACATGTGTTGAGCTAGACGTAGTACCGACCTCATGGTGACGTGTGTCGAGCTAGACGTTGTACCAGCCCCATGGTGACGTGTTGAGCTAGACGTTGTACCAGCCCCATGGTGACGTGTTGAGCTAGACGTTGTACCAGCCCCATGGTGACGTGTTGAGCTAGACGTTGTACCAGCCCCATGGTGACATGTGTTGAGCTAGACGTTGTACCAGCCCCATGGTGACGTGTTGTAGACGTGTTGGTGAGTGTTGAGCTAGACGTTGTTCCAGCCCCATGCTGACATGTGTTGAGCTAGACGTTGTACCAGCCCCATGGTGACGTGTTGAGCTAGACGTTGTACCAGCCCCATGGTGACATGTGTGAGCTAGACGTTGTACCAGCCCCATGGTGACATGTGTTGAGCTAGACGTTGTACCAGCCCCATGGTGACGTGTTGAGCTAGACGTTGTACCAGCCCCATGGTGACATGTGTTGAGCTAGACGTTGTACCAGCCTCATGCTGACATGTGTTGAGCTAGACGTTGTACCAGCCCCATGGTGACATGTGTTGAGCTAGACGTTGTACCAGCCCCATGGTGACGTGTTGAGCTAGACGTTGTACCAGCCCCATGGTGACCCAGCCCCATGGTGACGTGTTGAGGCTAGACGTTGTACCAGCCCCATGCTGACATGTGTTGAGCTAGACGTTGTACCAGCCTCATGGTGACATGTGTTGAGCTAGACGTTGTACCAGCCCCATGGTGACGTGTTGAGCTAGACGTTGTACCAGCCCCATGGTGACATGTGTTGAGCTAGACGTTGTACCAGCCTCATGCTGACATGTGTTGAGCTAGACGTTGTACCAGCCTCATGGTGACATGTGTTGAGCTAGACGTTGTACCAGCCTCATGGTGACGTGTTGAGCTAGACGTTGTACCAGCCCCATGGTGACATGTGTTGAGCTATACGTTGTACCAGCCTCATGCTGACATGTGTTGAGTTAGACGTCATACCGGCCATTTGCTGACATGTGTCGAGCTAGACGTCGTACCGGCCTCATGCTGACATGTGTTGAGTTAGACGTCATACCAGCCTCATGCTGACATGTGGTGAGTTAGACGTCATACCGGCCTCATGCTGATATGTGGCGAGCTAGACATCGTACCAGCCTTATGCTCACCTGTGATGGGCTGAACGTCGTAATGGCCTCATACTTACATGTGTCTGGCTGAACGTCATACCGGTCACGTGTCGGGCTGAATATCATACCGGCCTCACGGTGACGTGTTGAGCTAGACGTTGTACCAGCCTCATGCTGACATGTTTTGGGCCAAACGTCATACCGGCCTCATGCTCACATGTGTTGGGCCAAACATCATACCGGCCTCATGCTGACATGTTTCGGGTTGAACGTCATACCGGCCTCATGCTGACATGTGTTGGGATGAACGTCATACCGGCCTCAACATGTGTTGGGCCAAACACCCGGCCTCATGTGTTGGGCCAAACATCATACCGGCCTCATGCTGACATGTTTCGGGTTGAACGTCATACCGGCCTCATGCTGACATGTGTCGGGCTGAACGTCATACCGGCCTCATGGTGACATGTGTTGGGCCAAACGTCATACCGGCTTCATGCTGACATGTGTTGGGCCAAACGTCATACCGGCCTCATGCTGACATGTGTCGGGCTGAACGTCATACCAGACACGTGTCAGGCCAAATGTCATACTGGCCTCTCGCTGGCATGTGTCGGGCCAAACGTCATACCGGCCTCATGCTGGCATGTGTCGGGCTGAACGTCATGCCAGCCTCATGCTGACATGTGTCGTGCTGAACGTCATACCGTCCTCATGCTGACATGTGTCGTGCTGAACATCATACCTGCCACGTGCCGGGCCAAACATCATACCGGCCTCATGCTGACATGTGTCGGGCCAAACGTCACACCGGCCTCATGCTGGCATGTGTCGGGCTGAACGTCATACCGGCCTCATGCTGACATGTGTCGGGCTGAACATCATACCTGCCACGTGTCGGGCCAAACGTCATACCGGCCTCATGCTGACATGTGTCAGGCCAAACGTCATACCGGCCTCATGCTGACATGTGTCAGGCTGAACATCATACCAGCCATGTGTTGGGCCAAACGTCATACCGGCCTCATGCTGACATGTGTCAGGCTGAACGTCATACCGGTCACGTGTCGGGCTGAACGTCATACCGGCCTCATGCTGACATGTGTCGGGCTGAACGTCATACCAGCCACGTGTCGGGCTGAACGTCATACCGGCCTCATGATGAGATGTGTCGGGCTGAACGTCATACCAGCCACGTGTCGGGCTGAACGTCATACCGGCCTCATGCTGACATGTGTTGGGATGAACATCATACCTGCCGCGTGTCGGGCCAAACGTCATACCGGCCTCATGCTGACATGTGTCGGGCCAAACGTCATACCGGCCTCATACTGGCATGTGTCGGGCTGAACGTCATACCGGCCTCATGCTGGCATGTGTCGGGCTGAACGTCATACCGGCCTCATGCTGGCATGTGTTGGGCTGAACGTCATACCGGCCTCATGCTGACATGTGTCGGGCTGAACATCATACCAGCCACGTGTCGGGCCAAACGTCATACCGGCCTAACGCTGACATAGACGTCGTACCAGCATCAACCTGACGTCGTGTTCAGGGTATATAATAGTGATAATAATAAAATTATAAAAATTATCAGACTGGACATTCCGAGCGGTCCTGACGTTCGTATTCTTTGGCCTTCACTATATGAAAGTTCCTACTTATACTGAAGATAACGGTCGTGTTAATGATTTCTTCCTGTAGTAGGTTACCAATGCACTCCCACAATATTACAACATATTACATAGACTGTTTACTTCTTGATCCAAACAAAACAACACTGCTGACAAAAATCATATAACAAGATACAACAAATGTAAATATAAACTGATCGATTATAGTCTAATGTTTTCTTCTCCAAATTAATTTCTTCACGGTTTAAGATAGTAACTGTGAGAGACTTAGGGTTGAGTTCGACAGAGGTAACAATTATATGAAATTTCGTTTAATCTTTCAGTAAAATTTGTTATTTCCCCCGCCAGGTGATGCAGTAATGCGTAATGACAAGCGAGGCTGTTCCTGTTATCGTGAAGTGTTGAGTCACATTCACTTCTCTGTAAATTCAAGCCAACGTCCGGATACAGTGACTCCCCCGGAGATACCCGCAGTGACAATACCACGGAAACCAATGTCCTGACAGGCCGACTGTCGGTGTGACACCAACTTGATCGGTCCACAACAAGTGAATATACATGCTGCGTATATATATATATGGTCGCATAACACTCTGGAATAATTTGTGTGTCCTGCATTTTATACATTTGAAATTATAACCCAGCACGATTAAACCATTGTCTCCCCATAAATGTGTACAGCATCACAGCGTTTTGTCACTACAATCGTCAAACGGTATAGCTTCAGTGTGAGGTTTAACGAGACGGCTGATATGACAGTTGTCAATGGTGTAGAGAGACTCATAACACTGGTAATTCCATATTACAGCATGGCAGAAGAATATGCTCCATTTAATACCACTACATAACACAAACAGTAAATATACAGTAGAAATAGAAGTAAACATAGCAAGAAGAATGATGTACTTCTACATCATACACTGTATACATGACGAAATCAGTCACACTGTCCCTGAAGTCGCACGTACTACTGACGACACAGCAGGAGACGTGTACATTTTGTCAATCAGTTTCAAATGTAAGAATGACGGATATACAGTCTCCCACAGATCACAGAGTGCATTCTTGGTTTGCGAAAAAATTACGTTTGTAAGAATTTCAACACTATGGCGATAGCGGTACCTATATGTTAAACCTTATAGGTTTGGGTTGGGTTGGGTTGTTGTTTAACGCCACACTCAGCAATATTCCAGCTATATGGCGGCGGTCTGTAAATCGAGTCTGGACCAGACAATACAGTGATCAACAACATCGATCTACGATGACATGTGTCAAACAAGTCAGCGAGTCTTTCCACCCGATCCCGTTAGTCGCCTCTTACGACAAGCATGGGTTGCTGAAGATCAATTCTAACGCGATTCTTAACGGGCACCTTATAAGTAAATCTATTTGAGGGACTACTGCTAGATTACCCTACCCTAGAAGCCACAGGGTGAAGACGAACTGGGGGTTTGGGAGCTCACTAATTACTCTGTATATAAGGAGGTTTTGATTTCCCTGTGTGTTTATTGTGAGTAAACAAGACAATCATATATTTGTCTCCTACAGGTCACAGTTGAGTAGTGTTCTCTTTGAGCATCTTCGGGTGTAGGTTTAACTGTACAGTTTTCAAAAGTGGCATTGTTTGCAGGGTAATAGACCTGATTGCCGTTAACTCTACATGTAGGATGGTACGACCAGTCTAGTACAATGAGTGATGGGTACAGGTCACATGATAGCGACACAACCAGCCACGACAGAAAAACACGCAAGTTTTGTATGTAAAATAGATTGTAAATTTTCTCATCAAATTTCATCAAATTGTTTTTGTCTACCCAAAAATATTAAAAATCGAACAATTATGCTTTACATTACTGATGTGAAGAAACTAAAATGTTGCTTTTTTGGGTAAACTTCAGTGTATATGATGTTGGGACACTTTCATTTACGTCATTCGATGAAAGTATCCACCCAGGCGTTCCAAGAACCGCA